AATGTGTGTATTTTATTATATAGAATTTACTATTATTTGACATATATTAAGTGTTATGTATGAAGTATTAAATGTATATAACTTGTTAGAGAGCAAGTTACTTTTTGAATTCCTTTACAATTATTACATTGGCTACATTTCCGTTCGGATCACTCAGATGACCCCAATTTTTTCAATTTTGATCATCTGAAAATTTAAATTCTAACTAACTGACAGGTTTAACTTAAAAAAAAAAGTGCAGCAAACTTCAGACTATTTTTTGGATTTATTTTTTAATTTAATTTTTATAGTTAAAAAAATTGTTTTTAAAAATTGCAGTTTTTATTTTATTGATTTTTTAACAATCAGGTATTTAATTTATATTAAAAATAAAATTAACTTATATATTTATTTATGAAAGTTAAATTAGCCGACATTTAAGAATTTTTAGAATTTTTTTTTTTATTGAAAAAATTAATAAAAAAAATTTTCATTTGTAAAAAACTTGAAAAACTGAAAGTGCAATTTTGAAAAAATATTTTGTTGTTTTAAAAAAAATTAATAACGTCAGCTAATTTTATTATTATATTTATTTATAAGAAATATTTGTACATATATTTAAACATTTTGGATACAATTATTTATTCTAAGTTTAAAAACTGGTCCTATAAATGGATTTTTTAAAATAATAAATTGTTGATGATTAAAAAAAATGTCAAATGTTTGAATATTTTCTGTTTCATCTGACATTTATTTTTATTTTTCTAGTAACTCGGTAAATTGTTAAGAAAAAAAATTTAGTGAAAAATTTCAACTTGTATAAATTAAAAAAAGCGAATTTTTATAAATATTTTTTTTTTTTTATAATAATTACTTTATTATAAAAATTCCACATTGTCAAAATCAGCTGATTCAAGATTCAAGTTTGATTTTTTATGACACTCAAGTTGATGACAGACATAAGAAAGTTTCTTAGAATTTTATAACAATAAAATCATTATGAACTAAATTCAATTGTAATTGATTTATTGTAAAGATTAAAAAAATTGACAGTTTCCAGCTAATTTTACTAAATAATTTTTTCCGAGTAAATTTAAAAATAATTTTGTAAAAAAAAATGAAACGTTTAGAAAGTGGTAGATCTGTGAAGTACAATCTAGATACATCCATTTTGGCAAACTACCCAACGACTTGCAGATGGAAGATATTTTTAATTTTGACAAGAGTATAAAAGTGTTGAGTTGATCGGCTGGTTTAGTCGCAAATAACGCTAGTCAGAAACAACTGTATTATTATTATTACAAATATAAAAATGACAGATTCACAAGTGAGTTTTATTAAATATTTTATTTTACAAAATAAACAATTATTATTTATATATTTACTCACTTATTTATTGATATTTTTTTAGAGTAAGCCACTTTTGTCAACATCAACATACAATGTTCTTCACAATGATAAAATTGGAAGGTAAGTTCATTGACTGTTCTATTTTCTATTTTAAATATTAAGACATTGTAATGATTAAAACATTATTTTAATTTAAAATTTCTACAAATTATCATTTTTAATTTTAATATTTTTAACACTATTAATTATATTTCTTCCCAGATACATGGTGGCAAGTAAAGACCTGGAGGCGGGTGAAGAAATTCTATCCGAAATGCCATTTGTGGTAGGACCCAAAGCATCGACATACCCACTCTGTTTGTCTTGCTTTTCTTCCTGGCCCCAATCTCCAGAACAAACATTGTGTTCAAGATGCAGCTGGCCGGTCTGCAACGAGAATTGTGCTAACGCTTCAATCCACAAGGATTACGAGTGTCCAATTTTTGCAGCAGTTGGTGAGAAATTCAACGTTTCTGCTGCTTTGGAAGAATCCAATGTCACCAATGTGCCCCAGCTTGAGTGTATAACCCCGCTGAGACTTCTTCTGGCCATGGAAAAATTCCCTGAGAGATGGGAGAAGGAAGTTAAGATTATGGAGGCTCACAACAAAAATCGCTCGGACAAGAAGCAATGGAAAACCGACAATGTCAACATCGTTGGCTATCTGAGAGACAGGTTGAAACTCGACAGGTTCTCTGAAGAAACTATTCAAACAGCCTGTGGAATTTTGGAAATAAATTCTCATGAAGTTAAAACTCCCATGGGATTCAGTGCTCGTGCTTTGTATCCAACAGTTGCTATCATGAGTCATTCTTGTATTTCAAATACTAGTCATAGTGTTTGTTCCAATGACTTTAAGTAAGTTGAAAAAATTTTTATGACTTAAAAATTGTGATTTTTTATTTATTATAATTAACTGATTATTTCTTCTTTTTCAGAGTAATTTTACGAACTACTGTAAAAGTTCCTAAAGGCAAAGAACTGTATGGAAGTTACACACATTCACTATTACCAACATTGATGAGAAGAGAAAATTTGTTGGAAGGAAAACATTTTTCTTGTGCTTGCGCAAGATGTTCAGATCCAACAGAAATGGGAACGCATTTATCATCTTTGAAGTGTAATAAATGTGACAATGGAATTGTACTTCCTCTAGATTCTTTAGGTAAGAATTAAATGCACGCCTCATAAGCTATAAGCGTTGAGGTAGGCTCTAGTCTTGACATTTAAAAAAAAGCAGTTTTCTTGAAACTGAAATTAATTTTTTTTTATTTATATCGCACAGGATAATCTGAGTGCACTAATATCAAGTAAAATAATTTGTCAAGCACATAAAATATATTTCAATGACAGTGGCAAGAAAATTGCTCGAAAATAATTTTTTTTTTTTTATTATTTAAAGTAACACACTTAGAACTTTCTCAATTAATATGAGCGTTCAATTTCACTGTCGTTAAATTATTATTTATAAAAAACTAATAGATGACTCCGTATTTTTTATGACATTAAAGTTAGCAACTTAACCATTTTTTAATTTTTTTTAACAAATAGATATTTTCCAATTATTTTTAAAAAATTGTATTTTTTATTTTTCAAAATTTCTACATGTCAATTTTTTTTCTTTTTTTTTTTTTTTCCCATAATTTATTTGTTAAAAAAATTCTTAAAATTATCAAATATCTGGTAAATTAATTTTCATCATTTTTTTGTATATACTAGAATTTAAATTTACGCGCGCAAGCGCGCGCCTTGACTATAGAGTTTGCATATATTTTCATGCTTATGATATATTCGACCAATCACGTTACGAATAGTTTGATGCCACATACATTTCATCTCAATTTTATATTAGGACTTCTACAAATTTTATTATAGTATTTTTTTCTCCACCTTAGAATTAAACTAAACCATAGCCAGGTTTCACTTTTTCTTCCTTTATCAGCTATAATAATGCCCGACAAATTATTAATTAATTAATTAATTCATTCATTTATTAAATTTTGATCCTAGAGCAAGTGCTCCCTAAAAACCATCATAATTAATTACATAATATTTATTAAAAATTAATAAAACATTTTATTAAATATTAAACATTAAATATTAATTAACAGACGCAGAAAGCAGTTGGAAATGCACTCATTGCGAGTTCTCAACATCAGGAGCAGCTGTAAAAAAAGTATTCGACGTGATAAACGCCGAGGTAGAAGCCGCCGAGTCTTACAACGCTCTAGACGGCGCGGATGCAGTGCACATCCGCGAGAACATAATGAAGAAATACCACTCTGTTCTCCATCCTAGACACGCGTTTCTTTCAATCCTCAGAATGTCCTTATCACAGCTTTACGGCCGAGTCGACGAGTACAATCTCGACGATCTACCCGACATTGTTCTTGAGCACAAAATAGACATCTGTAAAATGCTACTCCAGGTCTTGGATGTCATTGAGCCAGGGTACACCAGAGCAAGAGCATTGACACTCTATGAGCTTCACGCACCATTACTCTTCATCGCAAAGTCTCAATGGAACGCCGGAACTATCGATGACGCAGCCCTGAAGTCCAAGATGACCGAAGCTGCTAGTGTTCTCAAAGACGCGGTCACTATTTTGAGTTTGGAGCCTTCTGTTACCATTGAAGGACAGCTTGCCAATGTCGCTAAAGAATCATTAGCGCAGCTAGAAGAATCGATTAATTCTCTTTAATATTTATTTATAAATATTGTATTTTTATTTTATAGTATATATATATAATTATAAGTAAATTTATATTTATATTAATTATATTAATCTATTGTTTTGCAAATTAAATACATATTTTTAAATTATTAAATAACATCTATTAATAAATTTTAATATGTTGAAAAGTAGTACATATATTGTGCTTATTTACATCAAAATTTATCACATATATCAGTAAGAGCTAGTATATAAACGCTTTCTATTTTAGTTTTAACTTACGCAGAATAAGCGAAATGCATTTCAGACGTGGTATATTTCAAGTGTTGCTAATTTTAAATAACTCATTGGTACTCTCTACAGTACTCGAGTCGATTTAAACTCTTCTTCTTCTTAAAAAAGTGCTTTCATTCTTACTGTATATATTTATTTTATATTTTATAAAAAAAATGCGCATTGAAGAAATAACTACCAGTAGTATTGTTAAATATAAAGAGTCTTATTCTGATAAACTTGGCCGCTATTTAATAGCAGCTAAGAAAATAGCTCCCGGTGAAGTTATTCTACGTGATAACCCAATAGTTGTTGGTGCTGCGTCTTTCAACGATAATTCTCTGTGTTTTTCATGTTTCCGTGTGATAGAACCAAAGCCTATCGGCTTGAAATTTCCTTGTCCTAAATGCAAAGTCGCAATTTTCTGCTCAACAAATTGTGAGGTAATATTTACTTTTTATCATTATACTGTATATTCCATTAACATCACTTTGCACTAAAACTAGACTTTCTCTTGAATATTTTTAGACACGAGAATCATTACATACGCCAGAAGAATGCAAATTACTAAAAGACAAATTATCTGAGTCAGTAAATCAGGATGTTAGAGGAATATTGCTGCTGATTCGATTGCTGTTGACAAAAAAAAGAAACGCTGAGCTGTGGAACAGGATAATTAATCTTGAAGCTCATTTGGAGGAAAGAAGAAACACTTATGTATGGAAGGAACGTCAAGAAGAAATAGAAATTTTAAAGATGTTTGAATTTGGTGAAAACGATGAAGATCTTCAAAGATTGTGTGGAATTATTGATGTTAATTCCTTTGAATTAAGATCTCCGGGTTCTCTTGATTCTGCTTTACGGGGATTGTATGCAGAAGCTGCTTTGATGGCTCATGATTGTCGTGGAAACACTCATCTTACTGTGGATGATGATTTCCAGCTTACTGTTTATGCAAGTCAGTCTATCAATGAGGGAGAGCCTATTCTATTTAATTATACTTCTTCTTTATTGGTTAGTCTTATTGAATAAAACTGCAATTTATAATTTTTTTTATTTTAATATATTATATTGTAAGGTGGTGATTTTTTAGGGGACTGCTGAAAGAAGAGAGCATTTAAAAAAAGGTAAATACTTTGAGTGCAATTGTCCGATGTGCGAAGATCCAGAAGAACTTGGTGCGAATCTCAGTAGCATTTATTGTCCCCGGTGTAAAGAGGGGTTAGTTAGATATGAAGGGAATAAAATGAATCCTTATTTGAGAGAGAAGAAATGGAAGTGCAAGAAATGTCAGAGGTTTTATTCTGGAGCGCTAATTAAAACTACGCTCGAATTGACCAAGATACGGATTGATCAAGCTGATGAATCTAGAATTAAAGTAATTTTTATCTATTAAATCAAAATTTAAGTAATTTATTAAATAAAAATTAAATTAAAAATTGTTATTTAAAATAATTTCTTCTTTTAGGAATTAGAGACCTTATTGAAGAACTTTTCTGTTATGTTACATTCAAACCATTTTCTGATGATGAGTTTGAAACAAAAATTGCTGGCGTTGTACAGGAAAGAAATAACTTGCCCGAATCCGAAGAAAAAAATTTTGCAACGCATGATGGAACTTTGCAAAGGAATTCTTCAGGTTTTGGAAATTGTTGAGCCTGGAATTTCAAGGTTGAAAGGTTAGATTGTTTTTTGGATGTAAATTTTATGTAATTATTGAAATTTTTTTTATTTTTTTAGGGATAATATTATACGAAATTCATCTACCGATAATAATAATAGCGAATAAAGACTATGCACTTAGAGAAATAACTTCTGAAGACCTGGCAAAACGGCTTGAAGAAGCTGAAAATTATTTAAAGAGATCACTGAGCATGCTGCTGATAGAGCCGGCATCAACTCCCGAAGGTGTTTTAGCAAAACGCGCTCTTCAAGAATATAAAGCACTAAAACAAAATTTGGATGACGTTAGATCGTTACCGCCTTCGTTGGATTACAAAAAAATTGATTTTGAAATGATGAAAAAGCGGAAAAATAAAAAAATAAAATAAGTTGCTTTTGTATTGATAGATGAAATTTATAAAATAAATTATGGAAGAAATTTATTTTATTTTTATGATATACCTGACGTTGACAGACAAAAACTTTTTTTAGAATTTTATAGCAATTAAATTAAATTAACCTTAAGTCAATATTATTAATATATTATTTATAAAATTTACAATTTTTTTTTTTTAATTTTTTTTTGATATTTTAAGTAAATTGGGAAAAGGGGTGGGGGTAAATATCAGTTCTCAGGTATAATTAGGGATGAGTCTTACATTATAACTAGGACTAATTTATCGCAGTTAGCAGAAGCAGAGAATTAAGCAGTGAAAAGTTAAGGTGATACTTTTAATTAAACAGCGACTGTGTACATCTACAAAGGTAATTTTTATAATTAATTCAAAATTATTTCAATGTAATACTTAAGTTAATTTAAAAATATTTTTATTAATTTTTTTTGCATATTATTTTTGAAAATACGTGGCTATAAAGTGGTGGTTAGATTGAATATTTGGTAACGTTTGAAGTATAATTAGTAAAAAAAATTAACAGATTTCTGTTAATTTTAATATTATAATAATAATTTAATACTCAATTTCAACCAAAAAAATTTCAAAATATAATTATTAATTAAAAATAAATAACTATAGAATAATTAAGAAAAATATTAATAAACTTCAAAATAATTAAATGTAATTTTTTATTTTTAGATATGGAATTCTTAATTAAAATTTTTTCACAATAATTTAATTATCATAAAATCAAAAGAAATAATAGAGGTCTGTTAATTCCAGTACCATAAATTGAAACATAATATTAATTGGTTTTTTTTTTTTTTTTTTTTTTTTTTTTTACAGAAAATGACTTCTAATGCAAGAAATTCATACGTAACTTTACTCCATAAAGCTGTGGATGATAATAACTACAAAGAAGCTACAAGGTTAATCAACCTTGGAGAGAACGTAAATGCAATGTGTCTCTACTACCTAAAAAAATACAAAATTAATATAAATTGTACTGCGTTACACCTCGCAGTCATCAGCAAAAGAAACAAGAAGATCGTGGAACTCCTCTTAAAGAACAACGCAGATATCAACATCGAAGCTCATTATCCTGATACTGATGATGACCATAATTGCCCAGTCATGAGAAATCATCATTTCAATCGCACGCCTTTGCTGCTCGCGATCACCGAAGAAAATAAAGAAATAGTAGAATTGCTGATCAAGTACAACGTAGATGTAAATTTAAAAACTTCTATTGGAGAATCTGCGCTCAGCTTAGCTCTGGAGGGTAACGAAAAGAAATTAATTGAAATTTTATTAGCCGCAGGTGCAGATATTGATTTGCGTTCCCAAAATCTCTTTTTGCTGCACCGGGCGGTGGCAAATAATAATTACGCAATAGCAGAGTATGTTATCAATCATGACAGCAGTGACTTGAATACAGTTTGGTATTACCCAAGCTGGAGTTTTTTAAGAACTTGCGGTTCGCCATTACACATCGCGGTGAACGATCGAAACAAAGAGATGGTCGAATTTCTGTTAAGAAATAATGCAGATGTTAATATTAAAACAAACTGCGATATAACAACTCCTTGTGATCGCCAGGGGGGTGAATACTATGATCGTACGCCTTTGCAAATCGCTATTGAAAAGGAAGACAAGACTATCGTCAAGATACTGATCCAACATAAAGCGGAAGTTAATCTTCCGATTACGATTCAAAAAACTCCGCTAGGTATCGCTATACACAAGAAAAATATAGACTTGATGGAATTATTAATTCACGCAGATGCTCATGTCAAATCAATATGAATTATTCGGGTGATGTGTCGCCGCTATATCTAGCTATGTGTACAAGAGACGTACAAGTTACGGAATTTCTTCTCGATCACGGTGCTGATTTTGGTAACACTCTGAAGTTTATAGGATATTCACTTGGTTTTGAAAACTTTGGTGAGAATGGGAGAAATGTTATTGAGCGACATACTGTTAAACTGAAAGCCCTTAGCTTGTTTCCAGGCCCTTATTCTGGAGTAATTGATACAAAGTTTGATATTTTTATCAAAAACTGCAACGGAGAAATTGAAAAATTAAAAAAAGTTGGTATTAATATTCATAGAATTACTTTTTTTGATGTACTCACCATGTGCCAGCATAAGTTAGCCATGAGATTGACTAATATTAGTGAGGATAATTTAGCACTTTTGAAGAAAAAAGCTAAATTGAATTTTCGGTTGTATGGAGAGTTGGTTAAGCTTCATCTAACTAAAGCAGTCCGGAGGAAGAACTTATTAATTAAAGCCAATATAACTCTTACTGATATTTTCGAGAGCGCTCTTCCAGATACTTTTCTTAGACAAATGTTTTATTATTTTTCTGATCAAGATTTAAAATTATTAAGTTAATATTAAGTCAAAGTAAAAGCAGAGAACCATGTTTTTTTTTTTATTTCTTCTTCTGCCTTTTTACGTCAAATAGTTATTAAGTAGTTGTAAAGGTTGTTTTTTTGTAAAAAAAATTTTTATTAAAATAAATATTCTATACTTGAAATTTTTGTTTTCATTTTTATTAAATTAGAACTAAAAAATATTTATATTCAATAATATGTTTACTTTGAATTCAGAAACTTTAATTAAAAAAATAAACTCCAATAAAATAGTTTAATAAATTAAAAATAAAAAATTTTAATATATATGTATATTAAAAATTTTTTTTAATTTATTAAACTATTTGATTGGAGTACAGATTGCGCAAAGCTGAGAAATTTGGATGAAAATTAATTTAGCTGATATTTAATAGTTTTAATAAATAAGTTATGGCAAAAAAAATTGACATTTAGAAATATTAAAAAATAAAAAATGCAATTTTTTTTTAAAAAACTTTTTTTCTAACAAAAATTAAAAAATTTTCAAACTGCTAACTTTTATATCGTGAAATTTGGAGTACAACCGCGTTACTGCCGTTTTGCTTATCACTTATAAATATAGACATTGCATGTAATGATTAAAAAAATAAAAATTGTAAATTTAATATAAAAATCAATAAGAACAAAAAAAAGTTCATTTAAATAATGTAAAATAGTCAATATCAATTAAAGACAAGAAAATAATAAACAAACGCATGCGCCATTTAAATTTTATTATTTGGAAAATGTGGAAACACCAATGAACACCATCCACCCCAATAATAATATCTAAATCGGACATGACGTGGTACGAAAATACTTTCCTCATTGTTGTTTATATAGTGAGCGATGCCAGCCGGTACAGTAAACGCATAGTGATTTATTATACTTAATAAAAATATGATAAGTACGTCTAATTAAGTTACTCGTCCATTCCAATACTACTAAGCACACCCGCCAGGCTTTATTTCGTATCATTTAGACTTCTCAGGTATAGTTATATTTTTTTAGTTATCATTTTCGTACATAACCTCCGCTTGACTGCTGTTTTTTTTTTTTTTTCAGGTATACTTATCAAGTAGTAATTTATAGTAATTGTAATTAATAATTATTCATAGCCATGCTGGATCAAAGTATCATCGGTCTTGGTATTATTATCACCTTGGCTGCGGTTTTTAATTTTTCTATTCATAAAATTGATGAGGGTCACGTCGGTGTTTACTTTCGGGTAAGTCATTGCATTAAAGTTAATCTTAGTCTACGATAGTTTTTTAATTATTTATTTTGATTTTTATTAGGGAGGTGCATTATTACCACAAGTTAGTCAACCAGGATTTCACATGATGGTCCCACTGCTAACTACATTTAGGTCTGTTCAAGTTACATTACAAACTGATGAAGTTAAAAATGTTCCTTGTGGTACCAGTGGTGGTGTGATGATTTATTTTGACAGGATTGAAGTTGTTAATATTTTAGATTCTAATGCAGGTAATTTAATTTATTAAAATTATCCATACTTTGATTTATCAATTCTATGATACTGAAATTAATAAACAGCTGTCAATTTTTAGTTTTATTGAATAAGAAAATTGATATCAAAAAAATACTTTAAAGAAATTTTATTTTACATTAAATTTGGATGTCACTTTACCATTTTTTAATTTTATTTAACAAACTTTTTCAGAAAAATTATTTTTTAAAAAATGTCATTTAATGTAGCACATATTTAAAAATTTTATAACAAATAAATTATGGCAAAAAAATAAGAAAAAAAAATTGACATCTAGAAATTTAAGATTTGTTCCAAAAAATTATTTAAAAAAAATTGCATTTTTTATTTTTTTTTATTTCTACACACGAAAAGAACAAGATGACACTGGATATCATCCTAGATTATATTGAGTGAAAAAAAATTTCAGATAGTAACTAGTATAATCCAGACATCACGATAGAATTTTTTTTTAAATTAATTTAAAATTTTTTTGATTGAGAAGAAAAATCCTAAAAATTTTTAATATTTTATTAATTAATTATCTCCAACAATTTTGAAATTAAAATAAATTTTACAATAGTATAAATAATAATTCTTTTAACTAATTTATAATTAATAAATTATTCAATTTATTTTTTAGTTCACAATATGGTAAGAAATTTCACTGCAGATTACGACAAAACACTAATCTTCAACAAAGTTCACCACGAACTTAATCAATTCTGTTCCATTCACACTCTCCACGAAGTCTACATCGATTTATTCGACCAAATAGACGAAAACCTAAAGAATGCGCTGCAAAAAGACTTGAATGAGCTTGCTCCAGGTCTAAGTATCCAAGCAGTCCGGGTAACAAAACCCAAAATACCGGAAACAATACGGAAAAACTACGAATTGATGGAAGGCGAGAAAACCAAGTTGCTGATATCAATCCAGCACCAGAAAGTTGTGGAAAAAGACGCAGAGACAGATCGGAAAAAAGCATTGATTGAAGCAGAAAAAGAGTCCCAGGTTGCGGCGATTCAGTACAACCAGAAGATCATGGAGAAGGAATCTCTGCAACGTATGGCTTCGATTGAAGATGCGATGCACTTAGCGCGCGAGGAAAGTCGCTCTGATGCTGATTTTTACCAGATGAAGAAACAAGCTGAAGCTAATAAACTATTACTCACCAAAGAGTTCCTGGAACTGAAGAAATACGAGTCCTTAGCCAAGAACGCTAAGATCTACTACGGGCAAGACATACCCAAGATGTTCTCAATGGGAGGATGCTCCAATGATCCGGATCTTGGTGTTCATTCTAGTGCAGATGTTGATAAGAATAATGGAGTTTAAAATTTATTTATAATTAATTAATTATTTAAGTATTAAATATATTTTGTAATTTAAGTTTTTATTACCATGATTGATACCTGATAAATAATAATTATTTATACCTCCTGTAAATCATCAAATTTGTTTAAGTTAAATAAAGTGTTGTTTTATAAATTACATTAATTTATTATTATTATTATTATTATTATTATTATTTAATTAAAAAAATCAAAATCATTTTCTTTCTGTCAAATTTAAATTTCCCGCTCCAAATTTTTCGAACATCTGACACTTGAGTCGCTTCTGACTACTAAAAAATAAATATTTATCAAAACAAACCTAAAAGACTGTTTTTGTATCACTTAAATCTAAAATAAACAAACTTGTAAGTCATAAAAAAATCAAATAATTAAAAAAGCAAAATTATAAATATTTAAAAAAAGTTTTTACAAAATTCAAGACACCATAATCATAAGTGACATAATTCAGATTTTTACTCAACTTTATTACACTTAATAAATATTATTATTATTATTATTATTATTATATTATTTTCATCATGACAGTTGTAAGTAGAATTTTTTTAATTTTATTTTTTTTTTACCAAAAGATTAACAATAACTTTTTGTCCAGGAACTGAAAAAATTTTTGTACCAATTATTGACAAGTGTGGAAGGACTGCACAGTATTTTGATAACTGACCGTGATGGAGTACCAGTTGTGTCAGTATCTACAGATACGGCTCCAGAGTTGGCAATGAGAGCAAGTTTCCTGTCAACTTTTGGAATGGCCACGGACCAGGGTAGCAAGTTGGGTTTAGGGAAGAATAAAACTATTATGTGCATGTACAGTAGCTACCAGGTAAAATTAATAATTAATTTATGCAGAAGAATGTTTGTTCTATTTAAATATCTTTCAGGTAATCCAAATGAATAAATTACCTCTCGTGGTCAGTTTCATAGCATCGCAATCCTGCAATACAGGACATATTCTGGCGCTTGAAAACCGTATTGACCCGATCCTATGTAACTTAAAATGCGCTGTCGTGGAAGCCTGATGGTTACCCATGGTCCACTATGGATGATAAACTGTCTTAATTTTAATCTGTCAATTTTTTACTACTGGAAATATCTACGAGATCGAGTAATGGGTTATGACTCATAATTTAAAAGAATGAAAATGACTAAAAATAATTTTTAAGAGGAGATGACATACATATTTTAAACGAAACAAATTTACACATATACATCAGGTATAAAAAGCCTAACTGAAGTTTGTAAGCTAATTTTGCTATTTAACAGAATTAATATATGATGATTATAATTATTGATTAATAATAGTAATTATAATTATTACTGACTATGTATGATTTGTTGGTAATTGTATATCGAATTGTGTACATTTTATAAAATATTATAAGAATTTTGAAGGTATGTTAGATATAAATAGATTTATAATAAATGAATGGTATCATTAAGTTTTCCTAATTAAGAAATCTAATTTGAAATGATTCAATCCATGCAAATTGTATATCTATATATTTATTTTATTTTATTTTAAACAATACACTGAACCCTACAGTAAATCCATTAAGCGGGTTCCATTATAAAAATAAAAAATAACAGTTACAATATATTTAATAATAATAATTATAGGTAATAATTATTTTAAATTGTTTTTAATAATTTCAAATTAGATTTCTTAATCAGGGTTTGATCTTATTTAAAATATTAGACCAATGTTAATAAACACAAATTTTCTTCATTATATCAAAGGCTGCGCCGTGAAATAATTAGATTAATTTTTTCTAATATTATTTTGATAAAGTTAAATATTTAATTTGATACTTATAAACTCTTACGAAAATCAAGTTTTATTTTATAAAGGGTAAACGAGTGGTTTTCCATCGAGAGCATTAATGAGATTTTGCGCAGCGACTATTGCCATATTATTGCGAGTTCTTACAGTCGCGCTACCAATATGAGGAACTATTTCTAAATTCGGGAGTGTTAATAACTCGTGATCTTTGGGTAGAGGCTCGGGATCAACAACATCCAACCCAGCAGCGAATATTTTTTTTTCTTTAAGCGCTCTCAAAAGCGCGTCTGTTTTCACAACAGCTCCACGACCGATGTTGATGAATACAGCAGTTTTCTTCATTTTATCAAAAGCTGCGTCGTCAAAAAGTCCACGGGTCTCGCTTGTCAGTGGAGTCGCGACGATGACAAAGTCACTAAGCTCGAGAAGATCATCCAGGGACACAAACTCAGCCCCTATTTCATCGGCAGATTTTTTAGGAGCATGACCGGTGTATAAAAATCGCCCGATTTCAAAAGGAACTAGCCTTTTGGCGATCGCTAAGCCAATCATTCCTAGACCTACAATGCCCACTGTAGATCCACTGACATCCTGACCCAGCAACCACGTAGGTTTTCTTTCCGACTTGCCTCTGTTATAAAAAAATAACTCAATAAATATTCCAACATTGCAGGAAATTAAACCTATATTTCTTACGCTTCCAGTAACAAACGACTTTCATGAGCTCGCCGAGCAGCAGTCAAAAGGAGCATTACAGCAATTTCGGAAACTGCTGCATTTAATACTACTGGTGTATGGCCGATTATAATTCCTCGGTGTTTTATTTCTGGTACATCTAGGTGGTCATACCCAGATGAAATTGTTGAGATGATCTTTAATGATGGCCCTGAAATAAAATATTTAAAAAAATAAAAGAATATTTTTTGGATAATAATAATTTAATATAAATTTTACCAGCTGCATCCAGAAGTTCTGCATTGATATTAACATGATTACCAACTACGTACAGCGCATCATGTCCTGGTATCGCACGAAAGATTTCTTCTCGTGATGGATAGTCACCCGGAACAATTGTCAATTCACATTTACTACAAAAATAAATATTTTTATTCAAAAAAATTAAAGAGATAAGTAATTAATTAATTAATTAATATAAACATATATGATACAGTTTTACCTATTTCTCAGAAGATCTAAACCAGCCTGTGGACAATCTTCACGTGTTACTAAAACTTTCCGCGTTTTTGACATATTTCTTCTTATTAAAACTGACGAATATTTTTTGAATAAGTAATAGAGGACAGCGAATGGAATTTATTCATAATCTCATTGAGATTCTTAAATTATCTAACTCTTAAAAATAATTTTATACTGATACCATACGCACTACAATTGCAGTTTAAAATACTAATGTACCATTAACGCAATGTGAAGATAGCAATATTTTATCTTAATCTATATTGATAATAATATCATATCATTTATATACGAGTAAGTAAATATTAATGTAGATAATATTACCTTAGAATAACCTCGAAAAAATTAAATGATTTTATTGATAATACTTCATTTTATTTAAGTATAAAAAATTGCTTATAAAAAGCTGGGAATTACTTAAGTTACAACGGATAAACGAGAGGTTTTCCCTCGAGAGCGTTGATAATATTCTGCGCGGCAACAACTGCCATGTCACTGCGAGTTTTTATAGTCGCGCTACCGATATGAGGAACTATTTCTAAATTCGGGAGTGTTAATAACTCGTGATCTTTGGGTAGAGGCTCGGGATCAACAACATCCAACCCAGCAGCGAATATTTTTTTTTCTTTAAGCGCTCTCAAAAGCGCGTCTGTTTTCACAACAGCTCCACGACCGATGTTGATGAATATAGCAGTTTTCTTCATTTTATCAAAAGCTACGTCGTCAAAAAGTCCATGGGTTTCGATTGTCAGTGGAGTTGCGACGATGACAAAGTCACTAAGCTTGAGAAGATCATCCAGGGACACAAACTCAGCCCCTATTTCATCGGCAGATTTTTTAGGAGTATGACCGGTGTATAAAAATCGCCCGATTTCAAAAGGAACTAGCCTTTTGGCGATCGCTAAGCCAATCATTCCTAGTCCTACGATCCCTACTGTAGATCCTCGGACATCCCGACCCAGGAGCCATTGTGGTTTAGCTTCAACCTTGCCTCTATCATTAAACATTCATTTTTATTGATTAGTTATCATTATCATAATTATTCATTATTCACAATAGATATCTCATATCTTGTTACCTTTCAAGTAATGATCGACTTTCATGAGCTCGTCGAGCAGCATTTAGAAGTAGCATTACAGCAATTTCCGCAACTGCTGCATTTAACACTGTTGGAGTGTGCCCTACTTTAATTCCTCGACGTTTTATTTCTGGAACGTCAAGATGATCAAATCCAGCAGAAATTGTTGAGATTACTTTCAGCGAAGGTCCTGAAATTTTATTCATCAAGTTGTTAGCTATAAAATTATATCTTGCATTTTTTTTTTTTTTTTTTTTTTTTTTTTTTTTATATATAAATTATACATAACCTTTTTTATCAATATATTTTGATAAAAAAAAAAAAAACTACACTAAAATTGACAGACAAAAATTTTTTAAGAATTTTACAGCAATTAAATTATCATGAAAAAAATTTAATAAAAAAATTCTAGATGTAAAAATCAAAAATTTATGATTTTTAATTAAAATTAAAAATTATTTAAATATTAAAAAGAATTATAAGATATTTTTATAAGCAATTCTTATTATTGTAATTGATTTGTTATAAGAATTAAAAAATTGACAGTTGTCAGCTGATTTAAGTATCAAATTAAAAGCTTACATCCTTATTATTTCTAAATAATAAATTTTTTATTAATAAAATTACCTGCAATGTCTAAAAAGTCTGTATTGACATTAATATGGCCAAAAAAATAAAATCCATCATGTCCAGGTAGAGCTCGAAGAATTTCTTCCCTGGTTGAATTTGAACCCGGAAGAATAGTCAGCTCGCATCTGTACAAAATAAAATAATAAATATTGTTAATTAATAAAGAAAATTTATAATAAAAAGAAAATTTACTTGGTGCGTAGAAGATCTAAACCAGCTGCAGGAATATCGTCTCGATTAACTAAAACCTTTGGCTTCGACATGTTTATAACTCCTCAGTAAGCAAAGAGTTTCTTCAATAAATACTTCGACTGATAACAACAGTATATATAGTTGATTGACGTCTCCACGGCCTTGAGAACTATCAAATATTATTTATTGCATCAAATGCATTCTTGTTACATATTTATAGAATCTTTTATCAAAGACAGATGTCAGTGCGCAAGCGTAAATTTACCGCGATAATTCATATCTTCTTCCTTTCCCAAAAAATTAGTTAACCACACTGCAAATTTCCTGGAACAAAAATATAATCAAAGTTTATAATGTGGAACAAAACATTTTATTAAGCTCTTATTGTGGGTAATTGTAATTTACGCGAATGTTATAACGCAAATAGAGCTAAATAAAATTGAAAGAAATTTAGAAACTTGTACCGGGAGAGTAGGCTCGCGCGAAAATCAACCAGCGTTATTACTTCCTCGCGCTCCTGCTACCCTGATCATATCAGGCGTTACTTTTCTCCGAGTGACGGACAAGTTCATGTCTGTTTGACCCGGTCAATTGCCTTTAGTATTGCTTGTATTATATTATTATTGTATATTATAGTGAAGTACGTACTTGCGTTCATAGGTATTTGCCTGATAATTATTTCTGAAGTCATATACTTACTTGGTGCTTCCAATGCAATATTTAATCTATTAACAAACTTTTTTTTTTTTAATTTTAGTTTACTTAATTAAGAGGGAATTATATTTCTAATGGAAGATCAAGTATTAATCTTTTGTTTCATGCTATTAAAGTTAGCCGATGTTTTTTAATTTTTTTTTTTTATTTATTAAATTAGAACTAGAAAAATATTTTTAAAGAATTGCAATTATAGTTTTTCAAGTTTTTTACAAACTAAAAATTTTTTTTATTTTTTTCAATAAAAAGAAAAATTCTAAAACTTTTGAAATGTCGGCTAACTTAATTTTTATTTTGTTTCTTACAAAGTTTTAAGAATACAGTGAATAAAATTATTTATGATTCTCAAGTATGTAACTGTCAATTTTTTTTAATTTTTTATTAGTTTTCACTTATGGAATTTTTGTCATAAATAATTTTATTACTACAAAGTTTTAAAAAATTTCAAATGTCTGTTCACTTCAATATTATAAATATTTGTATATTTTTGCTTCATAAAAAATAATATTTATAGTAAATTTTATTCACTTAGGATCACAAATTAGCAAACAAATAAAAATTTTAAATAAAAGTGCGCGCGCAGCATAAAATTTAAACAAAAATTATATTTTAATCACATAATATTTTTTTAATAAATAAAAATATAATTTATTTACTATAAATTTTATGATTTTTAATTTTCAGATAGATTTGTGAATAATTAGTACAATTTTTTAAATTGCAGTTCAGTCTCCATGAGATGACAGCGCCAGTGTTCCCGAGATTACTTTTAAAAAACAGCTATATATGTGCGATCAACAGTTAAAAGTCGTTGCAATTTCTCTAAAATTATTTCTCCTACAAGTTGATTTAAAAAAAAAAAGTGAGCCATTTTAAGTAAATAAAAAATAACAAAAATTTATTATGCATAAATTAACATTCAACCACTAAAATTACCCGTAAATAATTAAAGTTTGTTTTATTTGTAGGTTATCGAGTATGCGCAATTACATCACACTGACGCATTTAAAAAACTAAATTTACTCTGTACTCTGTACTGGTTTCTTATTTGTTCAGAAGCATTTGCATGGGTTGACAAAGTCCTAGCTTACGTAAATTAGAGATTATTAAATTAGCAGCAGTTACTATCACCGACAGCTAAAAAATGAGTTGGTCAGCGAGACATGTGTCCATTCCCGCGATCATTGGTCTTTCGTTAACAGGTGTCTTTGTTGGATTGTATTATTATTTATACAAAAAAGTAAGTACTCGAAATATCTATGATGTCATGCTCAGAAATGCCGTCAACTAGATGAAAATTAATTTAGCATATATTTAGTAATTTTAAGAATTTTATTACAAATAAATTGTAGCAAAAAAAAAAAAAATTGACATGAGGAAATTTTAAAAAATTAAAAATGCAATTTTTTAAAAATCATTTTTTGGAACAAATTTTTTTGTTAAATAAAATTAAAAAATTGTCAAGTGTCTGCTAACTTTAATCTCGTAAATTTTTTTAATTAATTCACTTGCTGACAATGACACTGAAGTTGACAAAAATTAGAAATTTTTTTTTATAATTTATTAGCAGTAAAATTATTATAAAAAAATTTAATAAAAATATTTTACATATGAAAATAAAAAAAAAAAATTAGGAGAAATTTTAAAAATATGTTATGTCAACTAGTTACTCAATTTACATTAAAATTTTATCATTAAATATAATTTTATTTAATAATTATTTATTTATTTATTAATGCTTGCAATTTAAGGAAGAAGAGTCCAAGGGTCCCATAACAGTCCGCGAAAAAAAATTCATGACTATCGAAGTAAAAGTACCCAGAGCATTAGTTCCCGCAGTAATAGGTCGTGGTGGATCGACGATAAAGGACATTGAACAGCGCACTTCCACCAAAATAAGGTTCTCTGAAGATAATGTTGATAATCCAACCAGAATCTGTTTCATAAAGGGCACTTTTGAGTGTATCAAGCTCGCCGAAGCTTTAGTTATTGATATTATCGAAAACCAGCCGGTTATAGAGACCTACGAGATGTTTGTCCCCACGCGGGTGCGGTCATTGCTTCTTGCAGATCGCGGGGAAGTTATCAACACGATTCAGGCAACCTCCAATGCTAAGTTGATAGTAGAAAAAGGCTTCAGCACTGATGACAAAAAACGCGTTATTATCAAGGGAACTGCCGAGCAGATTGGATCAGCTGTTTGCTGTCTCGAGGAACTTATACAAGAGTCCAAGGACACTCAAGAAAAACTGGAGGTCAGTCAGAGCTCCAGGTCTCCCAGGGGAAAAGTTTCTCCTAGAAGTACTCCTACTCAGTCGGATTCTGTTCAAACTATTGATTCTTCACTCGGTAAGTTGATAAATAATATTTATTTATTGATTATTAGTGTCTTCATTTTTTATTAATTCATAAATTTTTTATAGACGGCGTGATGGAGGTGTACGTCAGTGCTTCCGAAAGTCCCAGTCAATTCTGGATTCAAATGGTAGGAGATAGTATCCTTGAGCTGGACAAACTTATTGATGAAATGTCCGAGTATTACTCCAAAAAAGAAAATCAAGAGCTTCATGTACTGAAAAATGTAAGCTGTTTATTTATTTATTTGCTTTTGTTTATTTATGTTGAGGCTAAGTTTAATTATCTCGCTCCAGATCTCGGTGGGACAAACAGTCGCCGCTAAATTTAGCTTCGATAACCGCTTCTACCGGGCCGAAGTGATAGCAGTCATGGACGACGGGTTCAATATTCATTTTCTGGACTATGGAGACCATGAAATTATTGAAGGAACGGATTTATATGAACTTAGGACGGATTTTCTGAGCTTACGGTTTCAGGCTCTTGAATGTTCTTTGGCAAATATAAGACCTCCGTAAGTATTAGTCATATTTTTTTTTTTTTTTTTTTAATGACATGGTAGTCGGGTTATTTATTATTTATTATTAATTTAGCGCTTGATTATTTTTTAATGACTTTACAAATTAAAAAAAATTAATTTTATTAATTACTATAATGCAATTTACAGGAAATTGATGATTTAATTAAATTATTACATTAAATTATTTTAAAAAAAATTTTACGAATTTTATAAAAAATATCAAGCGACGGGTCCTTTTATTAATCATAATATCTATATAATAATAATAATAATAATAATGATGAATATGAAAATGTATAACACAATATAATCTAGCGGTGAGTAATTAAATTATTCACTCCGGTCTTTTGATCTCCTGCTTGTCTAGCAGACTTGTCAATACTCGCTGGCACGTCGCTGTGAGAAGCTTTGACATTTGCGTGCCCTGGAATTTCGTCTTGACCGTTGTTACAGATAAACTTGGTGTCCGCATCTCTGAGATGCCTGGTCAACCTCGCCGGTTCCTATCAATGGAATTACCAATTAATGCTTTAATATTTAACCAGTAATAGCAAATCAGTTACCTGTTTATCGGAGTTGTACTCGGTCATTTGTATTTTTACTACCAGCTTAGCTACTCCATTCTTCAGATGTCTCTCCACGACTGATAGCTCTCGGTATCCCAGAGAAACAATGTCCTCGGTCGATTTTAGCTCGATAATTGTTCTACCAATGTTAAAGTACTCCCATTGATTTACTTCAGTATTGTAAATTCCAAATTGAAAGCGAATTTTTGCTTGCTCTGTAGAATTTATTTTGCAGTTTAACATATTTAAACACAAAACAACGGGATTTTTCAATCTCTTTCCTGGAAAAATTATTTATTATTTTTTTTTATTTATTATCAGTATCACATAAATTTAATTTAATTTTTGTTATAATTTTTAGATAAAGCAGACGTTTAATTAATTAATAAAAAAATAGTTTACCTTCTGGTCCTTTCCAGAATCTAATGGATAGATTCCACGAGCTGCGAATTCCATTAACATTGAGCTCAAACGCTGGACTATCGATAGAAGTATTCTTCTCTATTACTTTCTTGTAATTTTTTATAGTCCACGGATATTGGAATATAATATCCGAAATAGCCGGGACGAGTAATTCCATTCCTGACTTTTACTCTCTATACGTTCTATCTCTACTTACTGAGTGTATCTCTACAATAGAGGCAGTAACATCATAGGCTGCTCAATGAATATGATTAAATTACTGTACGTCCGTGTAATTCACTGCAGCTTGCCTTGAATGCAAAAAAGTGAATGTAAAGTACACTTGACCTTAATTTATTTTAGTTTATAGATACTCGACATTTTTTTAATAATTATTTGACAAAATAATCCAGAAGTATTAATAATTATATCTCACTAACAGTCGAATTTAAATCACTCTCTTGAGTAATGAGAAGTGAGTTGTAATTAAAAATTCACAAATGATATGACATGGTCCTTTTATTATCAATTAGGATATTGACCCGCAAAATCAGCTGAAGTTTAATCTCAATCTGTTAAGAATTCAGATTTATCGTTTAAATGAGACGTTTTATTTGTTTTAAGAGAGAGAAGAAATTTTTTGTGATTATCTTAAAGATATTGTTGGTGTAATAAACGAAAAAAATTTGTCAGATTTGTGGATAATATTTTACGGAAATTAAAAAAATTTTATTAAAAATTATTAATTAAAAAAAAAAATTTGATAAAATTATTTTTTAATAAAAAATTAAAAAAATTTTTTAATAATTCACTGAATAAAATTTTTTTTTAAAAGAAAATTAAATTTGCAAATAAATCTCATAAAACTAAAGAATATAAAACTTTTATGTAAATTTTCTCAGTATAACTGTGACATTAATAATAATTTAAAATATTCTATTCTATTCATAAAAATAAAATAAAAGAGTCTAAGTAATTTAAATGAAAATTATTTCGGTCATGCGTGCGCTCTCGTACGTTATAGATAGGGTCAGGCAATTGTTTGGCATCACAGGAAGTGCAATTGTACTTTCATCAGATCGTTAGTGAAACAAGTAATTAAACTGCTTTCCGTATCTATCGTTAGTCTGAATCTACAGTATACTTTTTAAAACTAAAAGTTTAACTAAAACTATCATTTATCAAAAACTTGGATATTTTTCATTAAAGTAACAATAACAATTTTATAAATTTATTCACAATAAATCAATCCAATAAAATAAAAAATATTTTGTTTGATTTTAATGAAGACAATTGAGTTATCGGGGAAGTTGAGTGAAAGTATGGAAATTTCGAATAAACTCCCACATAAATTTGTAAATATTTGAATGGACGTTGATAGAGATATTGATTAACATTTCACGACTTAATTGGAGTAGGTTGTTTGCAGTATAATTATCGAATATTCCGATGATGATGATGATGATTTACAGGTACCATTCCAATCATTAATATACAGAGAGCAAGCAGTGTAATTAACTGAGAAATAATGACTTTATTCAATCCGCTGGCAATATTCGTGAATACATATATTACATTTATAGAGTTTTAGTATTGGTATGTACTTCTATTCCTCAGCGGAAACTATTTTAAGATTGAATCCCTAAGTCTCTAATCGATTATCGTTGATAATATAAAACTCATGTATTTCCCGAGTGTAAAAGCTCGGTAAGATCTTGAGACTTGAGGACAAAATATAATACAGGACCTTGACTTACCTCGTATAAGTTTTTTCAATCAATATATTTTAATTTGTATCCTATTTACTGTTTTATTTTTATCCTTCCAGTAATTTCGCTAAAATATTTTATTTAAAAAATAATTAATTTTTTATTTTCTGCCAGAGTACTGCAGTAAATATTTAAGTATCAGCAGTAGTTATATCCAGCAATTTAAAGATAAAACTAAAAAAGAAAAACTCGTACAAAAGACAATAACTTTTTTTTTTAATTTTTTCTACAGCAATTATTTTTCATTTAAAAGTCTTTATGATACTGAGGATAAATCTCGAGAGAAACTATGTCAGACAAAGACAATTTTAAAAATTTAAATGGAAGTGGCAGAACCTTGGCTTATCCATGACTAAAATACAATCAATTAAATAAAATATTTTACTTAACATTTAATTGAGATAAATAAAACTAAACTTACTCACTTTTATTTTTTTATCTATTATTATTATTATTATTATTATTATTATTAATTATTTTCAGAAATGGATATGAGTGGAGTGACGAAGCTTGTGATAGGTTTGGTGATTTATCTTGGGTCGCTCAGTGGAAAGTTCTTATTGCCAAAGTTCGTGGCTTCAAGGAGCGAGTCATTAGTCAAGGGACTAGTCGAAGAGAAGGCTCTCCTATTCCATGTGTTGACCTGTATGATAAAAATGATAAAAAGGTAATAAATCATCACAGATATTCTTGATGATAACTTTTTTAATTTTATATTTAGAGACATGGGTGAATTTTTTTAATAATAATTCATTTCACTGCGTACTTTTTACCCATATCTTCATTAAGAACATGTAGGACAGAATATTTAAATTTTTAGCAAAATACTGGGACGCTTTTTGGCAATTATTTACAAGTATAGATTTTTTTTTTTAAATTGTTCGTTTTTTTTAGTATTTTAAAAAAAGATAAAATATAATTTTTATCCAAAAACATAAAATTTTTTCCAACTTTTAAAGGTAAAAAAACTATCAAGATCTTTATTTTTTTTTTTTTTTCATGACATTTTTTATCATAATAAATGCGCTGTAAAAACAAGCAGAATATTAAAAATTTTTTTTAATATTAATTTTTGACCTAGTTATGACTCAAAAAGGGTTGACCCCATTTGTAAATAATTACCCTCTTTTTGACCAAGTAATTATTGAATAAAAAATCATGAAACTTGACAGAAGTATGTAAATAATAGTCCTTCGTAAATTGATAAATAAATAGGTAGTGTTTGCGCGAAAAATTGTCTTATCTCAGGGCCTATTACATATTTAAGTAAATAAACTTTATTATATAGAAATAACTAATAAACTTACAACCAATATAATCTTTAAGATTGATTTAATTTTTTTATAATTTTTTTATTTCAGTTTAGATTACTTACTAGACAGAATTAATAAAATGCAGCTAAGTTAGGATAAAAAATTAATTATCAATGTTATAAAAATTTACTAAGTATACTTTCATGTAAGCTGCAAGAAAGTGCAAAAAAAAATTATCTAGTCTAATTTTTTTAAGCAGTGTTTAGAGTATTTACAGTCAGTCTGATAACCTCCTTCAGTGCATTTTGCAAGTATTTCAATTAAACAAATCGATATATTAAATTGGCATTAGTTGTCACTGGTCCAGACTGAATTACCGAAATCAGACTGTACTACATGTTCTTAATATAAATATTTACTCATAAGATTGCAAGTGATAATTTAATATTTAATATTTACACAGGATATTGATATTGGCAAGCAACTGGTGATTGAAAATTTAGCGGTTCTCGATGACAGCTCTTGGTCGACTGCCAGCTCAACCGCGTCATTGTTGAAGCACCAAGATGCTTCGAGTCCCTCTTTGGACAACACGCTACCAGTGACCACGAAATCCAGTTCACCGCAGCGCAAAATCACCCCAGAAGTAATCGACTTGACCACCCCGCGCAAGCGAGTCGTCGAAGAAGTCGATTTGGTGACTCCGCAAACTGACTGGAAGAAAAAATCGACTTTCGACACGAAAAAACAGGGCAAATCTACCAACGGTACTAAACAGGAAAATAAAAAACTTCCTGTAGATACGCAGCCGCGTCATTTGCCAGGTGGTGAGGAGAGTTACGACGAGTATTCTGATGAGCTTGAAATGTTTTGATTAACACTTGTTGAGAATCTCAAGATATTTATTTATTTTTTTTTTTTTTTTATTTAATTTAATTGTTATTTAATAATAAGTTTTTTCGCTGGTCGAAAGTTTTCTCTGCGTAAAAAGAAATATTTAATTTTTTCACGGAAGTTTAAGTATTCAGGAGATTATTGTCATTATTATTAGTTATTATTATATAAAAAAAAAATTCTTCGTGCCTTACTATCTCATTATCCAGAGATATAAATATTAAATTATATTTTTATACATTAAAAAAAAGTTTACGATGTTTATAAGTCATAATTAATATTGTTTATAGTGTTATCAAATAATTATCAACTTAAAATTCATTTATTAATTAATTTCTCGCTTTAATTATTAATTAAAAAATGTAATTTTTTTTTTATTTGCCTATACGTAATTCATAAATAAAATAAAAAAAAAGTGTGATAAATAATTATACAAAAAATAACAAATAAAATAAAAATAATTATAACAGACAAAATATTAAAATTTGTCGCAACAATAATTTAAAAAGTAAAATAAAAACGTGATCGGAAGTCAACAGTATCTGTTTTTTGCGGCTGCGGTCGTGTCTAGTTGTCGATTATGAGATAGCGGAACGAAGCGATACAAGAAACCCGGGTTTTATAGAAAAATTCGTGAAAGCTGTGGTGACGTCTCTATAAAATCCGGGTTCGGTCAATTTCTTCGTCATTGATTGTCAGTAATCGAGCATTACCAGTTGGTAATTGTCAGTGAAGTAAAACAATAACACCGAGAACAGCGGCGCCATGAATTATCTGGTAAATAACATAAAACAAGTTATAAAATTTATCGAGATTGTATAGACCGTGTAGCTCATTGTTTTAAGTTATAAGGAAATTGAATTAGTGGTTGGGAACAATTTGTCCCTTATTGTAGTCTACTGCGGTTTCCTGTATAACGCACCACTCTATTTTATGTATGCGTATGTAGTCTATATAATAATAGTAATAGTAAACACGCTCTATATTGTCTAGAGAGCAACATCTATCACACACACGTGACGGCATTAATTTATCAGGGCAGCTTTAATTACTTGTCGTCTCCTAGTATCAATTATTAAATAAACTAGCGTGTTATAGGTCAATTAAAACGCGTCTCCCATACTCTCTTTTAACGATAACATATGTTGCCATTAATTTTTATAATTACTTATAATAATTGCACTTAAAAGTTACTGGAGAAAATAAATAAATTTTAAATTTAAGGATTTGATGTAAAAAAATTTGTTTTTAATATTTTATACTGATAAAAAAATTAATTTAATTTAAAAGAAATTACTTTTGATTAAAATAAATTCTTCTCTTAAATCAAATAAATTTTTTATCAGCATATAAGATAAAATCATTTTCTACATTTGATATTAATAATGTTAAAAAGTATTTTATTAATTTCGAAAGAACATTAAAGGCGCCGTCTCTCTGTCTCGACACGACACGACAATGTTTTTTAAACTTTTCGATCCAATGTACTAAGACCAGAATTGGGTCACTGTACATAACAGAGTAACACTTAGTATTTACTGAGAAGTAGTATTTACCCTTTTGCGTATAGTACTATAGTACACTACACTACATTAGTCGATATAGCGTATGATGTTTTATACTTCACCCTCGAGTCGTGCCATATTATATTTATGTTCAACGTCAGTTGGTTTATGTTCCTCGACAATAAAACCAATTCACCGGTGTCCATTGTTCGCAATAAACATATAATGGCCATACGTACCCATTACATTTACAAACACTCTAGAATTTCCGTATGCGTTTAGAATTTTTTACAATACCAATACCAATACAAAACAGCTCTATGCGATTTCATTTGTGGTTTGTGGGACAATACCTTGACCTTATAGTAGTTAAATAGAATTTATTTTGCTGTTTACTAACTATTAAGTTGTGAATAAATTTACGGGGCTATGTAATGCTCATAATTTGTGTTTTAAAATTTTATCACTCATTTTTAATGTCATAATTATTTTGATTTATTGATCATGTAAAAATATTGGCATTGGTATTGGATAAAATAAAATAAAAATATGCTAATTATTTCTTACAAGTCTTCACGAATTGACGTCAGTATTTTTATTTAATATTGATGTCTATTTTTTTATTATATGATATTGAAATTAGCAGACACTTGACAATTTTTTTTATTTATTTTGAAAAATAAACTAGGCCTAGAAAATTATTCTGAAAAAATTCAATTTATTATTTTTTAGAATATTTAAAGATAGAATTTTTTAAATAAATTTTTCTTATTATTATTATTATTAGTTCAGAATAATAATGAGTGTAATTATGACTCAGTAAATTTAACATTTTATTACAAAAATTAATCTCTTAAATATCACTTAAAATTTTAATTTCTTCTTTTTTAAATTATAGCTTCTATTAAAAAAATTTTAATCGTTATAATTTAGTTAAAAAATTTTTTTAAATTATCACATGTCTCAATTTTAAGATATTTTTTTTTATTTCTGGCTGTAGAATTTAAAAAAAAAATTTTTTCATAATAATTAAGTGATAAAAATCCAAAAAATAGATGTCTGTTAATTTCACTATCATTATTATTGTAAAAATTATTTTTTTTACTCATAAATATAATGTAAAAAAATATAATACTAAAGTTAGCCGACGTTTTTAATCTTTTAATTTTTTTAAATAATTAAATTATAACAAAAAAAAAATACTTTTAAAAAATTGCACTCATAGTTTTTTACAAATTAAATTATTTTTTAATAATTTTTTAAATAAAAAAAAAAATTTTAGATGTCGGCTAACTAAATTTTCATTAAAAAATTGTATTTACTTGATAATTCTAAACTCTGTTTAGAATTTCTTGGTAATAGTGTGCAGCGTTTCCATAACCACCGCGGCAACAAGATATCTCGCGATACCAATCGACGGAATGGACATAATTGAAGTTAATCCACAACAGCAGTTTCACCCACAGCAGATTCAGCAAAGACCGCCGAGACAAACAGAAGCTTATATACCGCAAATTTTGTCACACGGTCAGCAATTACAGCAAGAACGCCAGCAACCGCGGATTGAGAGATCACCCATACTCGATTACGTAGACTTTGGCGCTCAAACTGGGAATAATGGGGCTTATAACTGGTTCGTTGACTACCCTGCTCATCGTTAATTTTCTCTACAACAACAACAGCAACAATTATTACTAATCAATTACTGATTGATAATTATGATAATCATTATCATCTTCAATCCGTTGATCTGTAAATAAAATAAGTTAATTATTCAATATTGAATTAAATATTTTAATAGATTTACAGTAATAGTTATGTAGTTGTTTTATTTTAAATTACACACTCCAATTCCTCATATATAATAAATAGTTTTTATAATTTTTTATTAGCTTTGATATTTTGAAATTTCTATTTTATTTCTTCTTTCATTTATTCATCATACACGTAATAATATTTTTGGTAGTTCAAATAATTATTCTGCAGTGCTAAACATTTTTTATAATACTCAAAAAAGACCGCTTTAAATATTGACTGTGCAAACAAACGGAAAATACTTTGTTTGTTTACATTATGCATGTATTTTTTTTTTTTTTAATAAAAATCAATAAATTCTGCCGAGTAGGAATTAGAGAGCATGTCCAGTCACGCTTAACTTTCACGTTTCGAGATTGAAATCGACGTAAAGAAAATAAAATAAAAAAATTTCTTACATTATACATTTCTTCTTCCTTATTTTAAAACTCAATAGTCTTCTTTTTTTTAAGCCAAGTCGAGTTCAAGCTCGAATGTATTTTAATATTACGCAATCAATATTTTTTGTTAACAATATGGTACATCGAAACACTTAACATAATAATTATAGCAATTTAACATCAATTAACATTTTTTGTTACTTTGTTTCCTATTAATATATTTGCTCTCGCTCTTCTGGTCGTTGATAAGCTCAATTACCCTCATATATATTATTTATCCGTTTACATAATATTTTATCGCATTATAATTTTTAAATTCGACCATCCAAGCTGGCACTATTATATTTATATATTTCTTCTTCTATTTTTATTTTTTTTTAAATATTCTTCTACGATAAATTGATTTATTTTTCTCCAGAACACTTTTATTTTTTGATAAGTATGATCTTTTTTTTAATAAATTAAAATAATTACAACAAACGAGATCAGATTTAATTTTTATCTTTGTAAAAATATATTATTAATTATTATTAATAATTTTTAAATGAAGTAACTACTTTGGGAAATTTGCACCATAGCAAAATACTTTTTTTTTTTTAAGCCTATTCTTAGATAGCGCTCCAGTAATTAAAAAATTATTTAAAAAATAATTAAAAAAAAAGTGTTTATTATAAAATAAAAATTTTTCTATAAAAAAAAATTAATTAATATATTATTTAATTAGCAATAAAATAAATTTTTGTAAAAAATTTTTGGTTCAAAAAAAGCGCAGATCTAAGAATGTCCTTAAATTCTTAATCTCAAAATAATTTTATAAAAATTAATAAAAACAAAGAATTACTTAATCTTTGCAAGTCAATGACTTATTAAATACTGCAGACTGAAATATGCTCTTACAATACACATATATATTATTAATATAAACTAACTTAGTTTAATTATCATCTTAGTTATGAAATAAAATTAATTAACAAGTTAATTAATTTATTAATTGATGTGTAAAGCGCGATCACAATAAAATAAAACAAAATAATAATTGTTAAATTTATATAAACAAAAATGGTAGTGCGTTGAACGCATGTTGTACTGCAATGGCATAAACTATAATTAATTGGCATGCTCAAATGTGATGCTAATTATAGTTAATAATTATAATAATAAATTATTAAACAGGTACGACGTTCTCACGATAATCGTTCCAAGGAGTCGAAGTTAACGACCTAACAATTTTGTTGAAAAAAATATTCAATTTGTCATGTTATTACAATTTAAATTAAACTTGTTGACTCTACAGTAGTTAAAAAAAAAAAATAATAATTATAATCATAATTATACTAGTAATGATAATAAAGTTAACACCAATCTTGACACCAGGTACCCTCGTTGGCAATTTGCCATAAATACTTAACTTATTTTATTTATTTTCAGTGCAGAGTATTTTTATGACTCTAATAGAGAATTTACTCTACACAATAAAGATCAATAGACTTATTGAACCGATCATCAATTGTGATGGATAATATATACATACAGACAGTATTATGCTCACAAAGTGTTAATCCAAAGAACAGACATCGTTAGATTCTTCTTTTAATTTTTCTTTTTCTTATTCTTATTATTATAATTTTTTTTTTCTTTTTTTACTTGAGTACACAAATACATAGCTTCAGCCTCTGTAATAGCTTATTACACAACATTTACGTTAAGTATCTGTCATTGAATAAATTTACACACAACCCGATATGATTAATAAAAAGCTCATGACAATATCAATATTATTTATCTTGTAATCGGAAAAAATAGACCTGGAAAAATTTTAAAAATTGTGAAAAATTTATATTTTTTTATTAAAATTATTATAATAATAATAATTATACAGTGAGAAAAAAAAATATTTTTACTCAATTAACAATTTCTTGTTATAAAAAAAATTTCATTGTTATTATTGTAATTTTTATTTTAAAATAATATGAATTTTTCATAATTTAAAAATTTTTTTCGGGTCAATTTTTTCGGGGATTTATTATTTATCTACATTAGATATTTAATAATATTAATATATAATTTAATGAATAAATTTTTATATAAATAAAATTTCCGTGCCATTGCCGATGCACAAATGATTTTCTTACGCATTTAAAAATACTTTTGATTATTATCGATAAGGGTTTTTTTATTATAATTTCCTTCCAGTCGCCGGCTTAAGGTTAAATAAAATGTCAATGTCATAGTCGTGGTTGTCATGGTCGTCATTGTAGTCGTTATTAAACCCTCGTATCCCTATTATATTCTGTTCTCTGTACTCAGCTTGCATGTCCCGACGAATTATCTCAAGTTATTCTTAAACTTAATTCAATATTAATGTTTGTAGCACAGAATGTATGCATGTTGATTTGTTTGTATTTACTCACTGTAAATATTAATAGAATCAGTTGAGTACTATTCCTTGAGATTATCGACCAATTCAACTTCTCACATGGTGTACTGGGACAGCAAAATTCGGGGCGTTGTAAATATCGTGGTACCGGTTGAACCGGTCGTTGACTCGGGTCAGGTAGTGCACCACGCTAACACCACTTTTTTAAATGGTACGAAGATAGCACGTTCTGATTCACTGTAACAATATTTTAAACAAACACTTCATTAAAATTTATTAATTATTATATTTATAATGGTGGGTTATAATTTCCCAAGTGTAAATATTTGATATTTTCCGGTTTCACCGTCAAGCTAAGGATTTGTCTTGGGACAAACACCTAGTATAGTTCAAACGAGCACGTCTTCTCATAGCAAGGTCACCAAGAACACGAACGAGTTATCTTGCAGTAAAATAGCCTCTGTCACGAAGCTAATTCAGTAGTTGGAGAGTTTAAAAGCATTTTGCTATTGTTAAATTAGATACGATACACATGTGTATTGTTGTTGTATAAATAAATATGTTTGTATGGTAGCAATATGATAAATTAAAATCACAATGGCGATAAATAGTTTCATAATTAAGAAATGACCTTGTATCTTGTGAACTATTGTAATTTTTAAAGATATAAGCTCATCCCGACATTATATTCATTGAGACCTTTCATTTGAGTACCCACATCAATTTTTCATATATTTTATATATTTATATATATTATATATATATGTATATATGATAAATATATCAAAAATGCATGTGGGTATTCAAATGAAAGCTCTTGATGAGAGTAACATCGGGATCAGCTTATATCTTTAAAAATGTCAATATTTAAGAAAGTACAGTACAGTTTAACATAATTAAAAAATGACCTTGTATCTTGTTAAATATTGACATTTTTAAAGATATAAGCTCATCCCGATGTTACACTCATCAAGACCTTTCATTTGAGTACCCACATCAATTTTTCATATATTTATATATATTATATATATATATGTACATATGAAAAATATATGAAAATGCATGTGGGTACTCAAATGAAAGCTCTTGATAAGTGTAACATCGGGATGAGCTTATATCTTTAAAAACATCAATATTTAAGAAAGTTCAGTGCAATTTAACCAAATTCATTATTTAAAAAGCAAAATTTTAATTTTTTATAGTTCACAATTTACGGTAGTCACATAGCAACTGCAAGTTTGCTAGTTGCAAATATTAATTTTAATTAAATTAAATATTGAAGAAATACGATCTCACCAGTCGAAGAACCTTCGTCCGTGAAACGTGCCATCTGAGGAGCCGCTCTCAGTTGGCAATTCGACACCCACATGAATCTCTTCTCTGCCGGGAACTGGACCAACGTATCGTACTTTGCCTTGAAGTACGCGGCCTTCGGGTGATATTACTTTTACAAGGTGATCTAACTTGAGATCTCGTGGAACCTTAACAGATTGTTAATAATTGTTTGTATATCCTTCAACGGGAATTTGATTATAATTTAATCTCTTGAATAAATTTAGTTACTAAACCAACATCAACATCAACATCAACAACAACAACAACAACAATAATTGAAATAAGAAAGTTACTTTTGGTAAATAAGGTCGAGCATCTTGGGGTGGATTCCATTCACTAAATAAATCAGGCTCTGAGTGTCTTCGTGCTCTTCTTCGTCTAGCAGACTGTCGGCTCCAATAATCAGCGCTGGATATTGTTAGCATGGAGTCGATGCTACGTCTCAAGTAGTCCTCGGCTTCATCAATCAGCGATTCTGTTGAATCACCACTATTCTCACTGACAATTAAATCAGATCGTAAGTTTGGCAAGCTTCCGCGTATCATCGGACACTCTGAAATAAAAAAACAAAACAAAGCAAATTTTTTAAATAAAAATTTTACTTTTTATTATTTAATTATTTAAAAAATTAAATACCTTGGAAGGTTACTTTGGATCTAGTTCTCTTGGGAGGATTCTTAATAATTCTATTGGACACTGAAGGCGGATGGACGTGAGTCGGCGACGAGGGCATCGAAGACCAAGTTGGTCGAGGTGTCGACGTCGCAGTTGGCACTTTCCAAGTGTCAAAGGAAGCGGCATTAACCCGCCAGGAATGTCTTCGAGGTGGTCCTCCTACAACTTCAAGCCCCGGCGAGGGTATTGAGGTCAAGGAGCCACGATATCGAGAGGAGTAGAGATCTGTTGATAATCGACAGTCACAAGGGCTTGGTAATCCGGCCCCGAGATTACATCGGGGCCAATAACTTGCTGGTGACCCCAGTGACTCACGTCTGTTCACCTCTGGGGTGCGGATTCCACATCCACGTGAATTGAAGCAATTCTAAGATAAATTCAATTGCACTTTGTTAATTTATTTACTGTGGAGTAAATTCTGATTGACGTTTTACCGATAATTACATCAATACAATAATTGTTTTACTTACTCAGATAAATTTAAGGTAATTAAATTATTTACAAGTGGTCTACTATTTACCATTTTAATTTTCACTTTTTGGAATGAAATTTCTATTTAACTTTTTTTATATATATTTTTTTAAATACATAAAAAAATTTATTATCACAATTTTAACAAATTTTTATAAAAATTTATAAATTTTTTGGATTTTTACAACAAATAAATTACTATTAAGAAAAAAAATTTGAAAAAAGGCAACAATAAATTTTTTTTATATCTACAAGTGGAATTTTTTAGAAAAATATTATTTTAATAATTTATTTGATTAAAAAAATTCTAAAAATCATGAAATATAAGCTGACTTCAGTATTATGTTTTTTTATGTACTTTTCAAAAAAAAAATAAAATAAAATTTTATCAAAAAACATAAGAGCCAAAATTTCTTCCATGAAAATTAAGTTAGCCGACATCTAAAAATTTTTAGAATTTTTTAAAAATATTTTTTTAACTCTAATTTTACTAATAAAGAAACAATCAAAAATTTAAAACGTCGAGTAATTTATTTATCATATTTTTTTAAACTTTTAAAGGCAAAAAAAGCTATCAGATTTATTTTTTTCTTTCACATTTTTATCATAAATGCACCGTAAAAACAAGCAGAATAAAAAATGTTAATTTTTTACCTAAATATAGCCAAAAATAAAGACCCACTTGTAAATTTAAATTTTAGAGTTACAATTATTAAAAAAAAAAAATAAAACAATTATGTAAAATTAAAAAAAAATATAATAGTTACATAAAAATGTAATTTCATAATAAAAAAAAAAAAGTAATAATAAATAGTTTTCATTATGTCATAAGCAAGGATGTTACAAAGTAGTAAATATAAAACATAAATGGGTTAAACGAGGACATAAATTTTTCTCCATGGTTATTATTATGATTATTGGGATCAGTAGTAACGAGATATGTGTAAAATACACGGTGAGTGCATGTTATTACAGCTAATAGAAGATAGGACACACCTATTGTAAATTGTAAAGACATTGGTGAGAAAAAATGAATGTGGTAATTAGTCATCGGCAAGTAGAGTGCATGTCAGCGCTTAAGAGACCATGGAAGCGAATCAAAACAAAGTGAGTCACGTTTCCTTGGCTCTCGCTTTTATTCGCTCACAAGTGTGTGTTAGTAATAAAAAGCGGTAATAATGCAAGTAAAACGGTAACGATTGTTTGGAAAGAATATTCACCTGAGAATGTGGATCGTGACAGAGATGATCAGCACTGCGAGATAATTCAGGCACCATGCTAGTGAAACTTATGTCGGAGAGCATAACTCTTCTGGCCTCGCGTGTCTTGTCTGAGAGCCGAAGTCTGCCGGCTACACCCGTCGGAAGAGCAAATTTGCTCGGCAGAGTCGTAAATGTATGGGCAACTTTATGAGCCAGATAACTTTCTGATCGCCATTGGGCAGGAAGCGCTGAAATGTCTGTTTGTGCACCGGATTCACGTCTTGCGCCACAACTCCGGTCCATTACCGGGCGTAATGGTGTCGAGCTCTTTCTACGACCTGCTGCTAGAGCTTCACGGTGGATTATGGGCCTGAATAAAATTATACATAAAAAAAATAATAAGTATATACTTGGAATAAAAAATAATAAAGTGCTCCGGAATAAGAGATACTTTTCCCGAGTAAATCTACGTTTTTTTATATTTCTTCTCAGGGTACTTATACTGAGAAAAAAAAATTTTTGTCCAGAAAAAAATTTCTTGGCTCAAGAATCGTTTAAAATAAATTTTGGTTTTTTTGAGAAAAGAATATCAATCATGATCAATATTTATCACGATAATAAAATTACAAACTCAATTTGTTTTATTATAAATTTTTTAAAACTCAACAAAACTATAGTTATAGTATTATAATTTTTTATTAAAAAAAAAAAAAAGAAAAAAAAAGGAGTGAAGAAAAATGTATGTGGAAGATAGTATGGAATATTGTAAAAAAGCAATGTATCAAAACAAATGGTGAAATGAATACCAAAAATGAATTTAATTTAATGCTATAGAAAACAACATAAACTAAGCTAAATAAAATGACTGCGCTGCTTATCTTTCTATTTAGAAAATATTTTTGTAAAACACTTTTAAGTGATACAAATAAAACCATTATTATTATTATTATAATTTTTTATAAATTAATTTAAATGTTAACTGGCCAAAAATGTACTTCTACTCTAGGTTCACTTGAATTAAAAAATAATTCGATCAATTCTTAAGACAAGAAAAAATATTCTTAAAAATTATCAAGAATATATATTTTTGTGACAGTAAAATTTTCTCAAGAGTAGTACCTTTTTTTCTCAGTGTATAAAATTAAAAATAAAAATAGTTTAAATTTAAATTTCAATTACAATATTATGTAATTATAAATACAGATAAATCGATTGATAAAAATGCTGGCCAATCTATATTATTCAATTGAGCTTATTATCTCAAAGCAATCAAGTTTTACGGTGAGTTGGCTCTAATACTCCAGTACAGTTGCATTTAATCAATACTAGACATAGTGGAGTAGAGAAAACGTTTCGTTTCCAGTATATGCTATAATATATATATATACAGAATATAGAATCCAAACGCCGAGAAACAGATGCCTATTACATAATACTGCTTTAAATTCGATATGATACTTTCCATGTGAAATTTGAATATTATATTTGCACATATCTATATGCCTATTCATTTGAATACGTTTATCTACTTAAAAAAAAAAATACAATATAAAATACTAAAAAAAAAAAAATCTCACCTGTATGCGGTCGGTGGAGCAGCAAGAGTATTTCTTCTCGCGGCATGTTTCGCCGCGTGTTCTGGTTCTTCGACAACGCCACACTTGCTGATGTCAGTTTCCACAAGAACCGAACACTGTGACCACATTTTGTTTAACCTTGTGTTTGAACTTTCGTCAAAGCGATCGACACTTTCTTCACGGTCGATTGACGAGCTCTGAGAAGACACCGGTTCATCGACGGAACTGCCGACAGTCTTGTCGCCATTGCAGACTCCAGCCTCGTCCGCGGTCTTGTACTTCGCCAACGTTGATTGTTCGCCAGTGTTATTATTGTTGGTGGTAGAGTCGTTGTTATTATTATTATTATTGGTATTACTATTGTTACCGTGCCAATGATCAGTATCAATGATAGAAACCAAGTCCTCTTGGAGTCCGACGTCGCGACAGGATTCCTCGGTGGTGAAAATCAGCTCAATATCGTCCAATTCCTCAGACTCATTTTCCGACTCCTGCTTTACTTCTGACGTAAGCAGCTGAGGATTTTCGCTAATCACGGAATTGTCTCCGTCAGAAACGCTGCGAAGACTCATGTCCTCAGGATCTTTATCTGGAACGTCGAGGAGGTCCGCTGGCTCGTAAATTTCTTTGGACGTTGCGGGAGCATCCAAAACGTCAACAGATTCTTTTTCTTTGTTTTCATTTACCTCCGGAGTTATTTCTTCCCTCTGGAGAGTTTTACTTAGCGACTCTGTTATTATTACTACAGAAGTATTTTCATCTTTATTTTCTTCTGTGATTGACGGCTGTTCAACATTTATTTGGCTCTCAGCCTGGTCCAAATCCTTTGGCTTATTCTCTGGTTCAGTGTCCATGACGGTACTCATTACTGGTTGCGATGTTTCTGACAAACTGAACCAATGCATAAAACTCAGTTAAATAGAAGCTAACGCAATAAAGTTATTTATAGAAATACTACGCGGCAAACTGTTATTTTAATTGTTATTTAACGTTTTAATCTCCGGTTCTTTGGCGATCCAGCCTTCATTCATATTATTAATTTTAATAATATAAAAAGACAATGTTAAATAATTTTACACGTTTGTTTTGAATTTATAATTAAATTTTCGGTTGTCCAATTTTAAAACACAGTTGCTAAATTTTTATACCTAATTTTTTTTAATATTGCTGCAACTTAATTTCAAGTATTTTTTGTTAAAAATATTTATATTCAAGTATTTTCTATTCATAAATTCAATTTTTCATCAATTTGCCAGGCAAACTTTTTTTTTAATAAGAAAAATTGAGCAGCCGTTTTTTTAAATATATTTTTTAAGTATCTAAAATAAAAATTTTTTTTAATTAAAATTCTGTCGAGAAAATAAATATAAAATTCATATAATTCACATTAAAAAAAAATTTTTAAAAATAAATAACTCACTCTTCAATAATTAAAACTGGTGACAGCTGAAGCTTAGACCTCGCGGCCGCTTCCGCAGAACTAATCGACACATCCTTAATAGCTTCGGTTTTAACTCCGTCGAGAATTCTGCGACGCAGCACGTGGTTCTCGAGCGACAGACGTTCAACTGTCTCAACGTAGCTCTCTCCACGAAAGTCGCCAACAATCTCTCGGAGTCGACGCAATTCCTCCCGCGATGAGTCCAGTGCAGATCGCAGGGAGATAATTGTCTATGTTCATTCCATAAAATATAAAATTATTAATAAAAACATCAACTATCAAATTGGTATTATCATTTACATTAACAATAATATTTAAATAAATTGCTCTTTAATTTTTACAATAAATGAAGATATTAAATTATAAAAATTGCCAATTTTTATAATTTTATATCTTCATTTATTGTCCAAATTTTCAAGATCAATTCATTTAAATATTTTAAATATGGACGAGAATTTAAATATTAATTAACATTAATTATTTTAGCTACCGCTACCATTTAAGATTACAAATAATTATCATCCAAGTCAACAGGTAGGGCAATTATTATTCCTACCTTCTTTACATAATTATAATATACAACGTAAAAATACAACAAAGTAAAGACTCATTGCGTTTAAATTTAAGTGGGAGTATACATTAGTGCGCAAATAAATTGAAATGCTTAGTTGGACTGATGATGATGATGATAATAATAATAATAATAATAATATAATAGTGGGAGCGGTACTATATTTATACACATGTATATACTACGAGTTGTTAAATATATAATGGATTAGTGTTTGGTCACAGAACACACCTGGTGTAGGGCTCTTACGACATCAAGTCCGGGGATGCCCGGTGGTAAAGTGAGTTGGTGGTGGAGCCCCTGATGAGCCAGCCGGCTACCTTCAGCTTCCATGCCTCCCCGCCCAGAGTTTCTAACACATTTTTCCAAAAATTGATCATGCCGGATTCTTATTAGATCACTAACTTGTGCTATCACTCCTCACACCCCATCACGCTTGTCACTCTAAAAATAAATTAAAAAATGAGACATGAATTAATAAAATGAAAAATATGTTATTAAAATATTTAAATAAAAAATGAAAAAAAAAAAAAGCAGTGATATGAGTTATGATAAAAATACGTCATGCGCAACACAGATGCACGCACAAAGTAACGAGAGTTAGTGTTTAACATTCATACATCAGAGCTAGCACACCAATGTAACACAACGTCATCACGAGACATTGATTTCTACTCAAAGCTTTGGCTCCGCATCGACTACACGCCCAAAGAGCTTGCATACCAGTAAATGCGCTAACAGGTGTCACGTTCTCATCCTATTCACCGGCATGATTAATTGCCGATTATCCGGGACGATATACTCTGCTTATAATTAACGACTATGACAAATAATAATAATCTATTCATTATTATATATTACATCACACCGCTAAACGCAATGTTATATCAATAGAATTAAGTCTATGATAATAGTTGCTAATATCTAAATTAGTCCGCTTTTATTTGGAGACACCGTAAGCTTATCTGCAGATAAGCTTAAAAAAAAAATTAACTTGATTCAAGAGAACAATTTTTGAGCCAAGAATATAATTTTGAAGAGGGTAATTGTTTTGAATTAAGATAAAAAATTCTTGAATCAAGTAAAATTTCTTTAAATTAAAAATTTTTCTACTCAAATCAAGAATGTTTATTTATTTATTTAAGTATTTCATTCAAGTATTTAATTTTGTTTAAGAAATTTTTTATGAAAATTATTTTTACTTTGAGTAATTTTTTTTTTCTAAAATAATAATAATAATAATAATAAATGAAAATTAATTTAGATGAATAAAATAATGAAAATATTTTATAATTTTAAGAATTTTTTCAACAAATAAATTATGTCAAAAAAAAATGAGAAAATAAAATTGATATTTAGAAAATTAAAAAAATAAAAAATTCAATTTTTTAAAAATAATTTTTTGGAGCAAATTTATTATTATTATTATTATAACTAACAATTTTTTACTTGAAGAATATCAAGTTCTTCAAAATTATATATTTTTTTTTTTTTTTAATTATTATTCTCGTTACGAAAAAATTCTATAGAAGTGCGTATAGCACCCCTGCATAGAACGAGTACATATTAAATTATAATAATAATTTTTTTTATCAATAATCACTTATATATAGTACATAGTAAATATAATACCGTGTACTTGATTCAAGAACATTTTTTTTCTATCTGGAAAAAAAATCAACATGTAAGTTTAACGTCAATACTATTGCTAGTGCTGTACTACTGATAATAATATAAGCAAGTCTTTCATAATGCTTGTATCGACAAAACCCGTCAATGAACTCACGTAATTCAATTGTATTGAATAACGTTGGATGTCGAGTTCATGCCCTTAATGAACGTCTATCAGCGCTAAATAAAATCTCAATAGTAAACACCGCTGATAAAAAATAATAATAATTATTATTATTATACCCTGGTGTAGTACTATATAAAGTGAAATAAAAAAAGCGGGAAAAGACCACGAGCAAGCTCTTCTAATTATAGGCCGCGGGCTTTAGGAGAGCGAATCGATCCCGACGGCGAGTCATGCGAGAGGGACCCCTCGTTATTTTTCCTTTCTCTTTTTCCCTTTTATTTATCTTGCTCGCTCACTCTCTTTATTCTTCGTTACGTAGTATCATTATTATCGTTATTATTCTCGGTGATCAGTCCGGTCCATACCACTCCTAAGACCCGTGGGGCCCGCTTTACAATTGCTATCCGTATCCAGTTTCTCGTGATTCACGATCGGATCTATGTACCATTACTCAGTACCTATGTACTGTACATGATAATATAATACTGTAAATATAAATACAAATACAATTCTAAACAAAAATAAAAATATAAATATAAATAAAAGGAACTGACTTATTCATACAACTAATACTAGGAAACGATGATGCGCTTTGTTAGAAAGTGACGCTGCACTCCACTGATGTTGATGTACTTACACTTACACTTATATGCAGTTAACTCGGTACTAGGTACTGGAATACTACACTAAAAGTAAAGAGTATACTCTCCAGAGCATTGAGTCTTTATCTACCTCTTTGGTCTATGTACTCTATTATATACATATAGATTTAGATTTTGTAAGCAAGTATGAGCGGTGAAAACTGTGCAGTGTGGTAACATTAACTCTCAAATCACTCGGGCATGATGTTTTTTAAAAACAAAAACATAACGTAACAAATGAATTATATTTAATCCATATTGCATGTTAAGAATATAAAATATTCATTTATGACATTAAAGTTAGCAGCCTTACCTAGAAAATTTTTTAATTTTTTTTAATAAAAAAATTTGCTCCAAAAAATTATTTTTAATTTCTACATTTCAATTTTTTTTGCCATAATTTATTTGTTAAAAAAAATTATTATTCAATAAATTTATTATTCAATATTTTAATTAAAGTTAGCAGTCTAGAGAATTTTTTAATTTTTTTTAATTTCTACATGTCAATTTTTTTTATATTTTTTTTTGCCATAATTTATTTATTAAAAAAAATTCTAAAAATGATTAAATATCTGCTAAATTTATCATTATTCAATACTTTAATTAAAGTTAGCATTCAAGAGAATTTTTTAATAAAAAAATTTGTTTCAAAAAATGCATTTTTAATTTTTTAAAATTTCTACATTATGTCAATTTTTTTTTTATATTTATTTGTTAAAAAAAATTCTAAAAATTATTCAATATTTAAATTTTTTCTTCTTTATCTGAAATTAAAAAAAAAGAATAATAAATATTTGAAAAATAATTAATTAAATAATAAATTAATAGAAAAAAAAAATAGTGTAGTGTAATTACGACACCCTTCACGACTAATTCGTATATTACTTAACTGATCAATATGGAGCTTGAGCTTGTAAAAGGTAAACAAGGAAAAGCGTCTACAGGGCCAGTGCTTGGACATTAGACATTACATTAATTTAACAGCAGAGTGCACGATTAAAGGCCAAGCCCTTTGATTAGCGTCTTTTTATAAAAAAAACCTCAACCTCTAGACTAGTCCATCCAACCGGGAAGTGGGAGCAATAATGTGACATAAAAAGTTTTATTACTCACTTTTTAAAAACTAAAACATTAAAATATAAAAACACTTTTTAAAGAAAGTTCAATTACACATTGAGCCAGTAATTATAACTGTTTTTGTTTGTGTAGCATTCAGCTGGTGTCAGTTTTTTTTAAAACAGGAATCGGTCACACACGGATCAGAAATTTATCGCGGTTTTCACTCGAATGTCAACAACGCGCCGCTCGAGAGCTGTCATCCTTTTTGACGCAGACGAGTACGCAGAAAAATAATTACGACTGATAGAACAAACTTGCCAACTAATTCACTAGATAGTTTTTTATTTTCTTACTAGCTAGGGATTTTTTGAGACAACTGATTGTTGGTAAAACAGACAAAACAAGCATGGTTTTAACCTTTCAGGACAGAGAATGTTGTGATTGTTTAATTAATTAGTTAATAATTGTTTATTTGTATTTTTATAAAATGACATATATTTTAAGGAAGATTAGTGTTGGTTCTTTAATTAGAGAGCCTAGGAGATATAAACATGGAGTTGGTAAATGGGTATGTTGGTTTTTTCTTTATAAAAATATTAAAAAGACGTCTGATATTTATTTAATTATTTTAAATTAAATTTTAGTATAAAAATTTTTAGTTTTTTTATTTGTTAAATAAATTATGATGCTAAAATCAGCTGACATGTGATTTTTTTTAATAAATAAATTATTATAAAAAATTTCACTTGTAGATTTGTCAAAAAGTTATTGTAATTTTTTTAAATGACACTGAAGTTAGCAGACGTCTAAAAATTTGTCATTTTTCTATTTTAATTAAATTACAACTAAAAAGATATTTTTAAAAAATTGCACTTGTAGTTTTTCAAGTTTTTTACATGTGAAATTTTTTTTAAAGTTTTTTAATTGAAATTTTTTCAATAAAAAATTTCTAAAAATTTTGAAATGTCAGCTAACTTCATTTTCATTTTTTTTAAAAATGTTTTCTTAGTAGGTAGTAATTTATATGATACTAAAATTAGCCGACGTTCAAAAATGTTTGATTTTTTTTATCAATTAAATTAGAACTAACAAAATATTTTTAAAAAATAGCACGTACAATTTTTTTAATTTTCTACATGTGAAATTTTTTCTTTTAATAATTTTACAATAAAATAAATTGAAAAATTAAAAAAATGAAAATTAATTTAATAACTTTTGTAATAAATAAATTACTGCATAAAAAGATGAAAAAAAATTGACATTTATAAATTTTAATAAATTAAAAATGCAATTTTTTAAAAATAATTTTTCTGTACAAATTTTTTTGTTAAATAAAATTTAAAAATGGTCAAGTGACAGCTAACTTTAATATCATATTAAAAAACTGTCAGATTTTTTTTTAATTATAAAATTGATATTTTATTTTCAGCAAGCGTTGAGAATTAAACAAAATTTACCGAAAGAAAAAGCTTTGGCTTATTTTGATGACTTTTATCAAACAATATATAGGTCGATGTGGCCAACTATCAGAGAAGCGATGATGTGTGAGACTCATAAATACGTAGCAGTTGTCAATAATTTTGCAGATACTGAACCAATTGTTCAAAAGCTTCAAGTAAATATTTTTTACATCAAAATTATTTATTTCCATGTTAATTATTTCTATGTCATTATTTATTTTTTCTAGTTATTAGGAGCTCTGAATGTAAGCGACTTGCATAGAGTCCACAAAGAAAACTATGAAGAACGATTAAGAAGAAGAGGTGACAAATTTCCACCACAAAAGGAACCAGACTCCGAAACAAAGCTAGTCAGTCAATCAGCGATTGCTGAAAGATTAAAATCTAGAGCTCAGGAAGAATTGCAGTCACTGTTTCCTCCCGACTATGATGCTGCTGGACAGTTCATTGATAATAAGGAAAAACAAAATGAGGACGAAAATTATGAAAATGAAGTGCCGAAAATAAAGAAACTATTGGAGCCGTCGCAGATGAGACCGATAGAAGAGGATTTAAAGTCTATTAAAGTTGACGAGAACCGTATTGTCAAGCCGTCGAGTGGCTTGACCTCTGGAGCTTTGCAAGAATTTATTCCTGCGACGAAGCTCAAAGGTCTAGATGACTATATTCTTGAGTCAGACCCTTATCAACATTACAAAGAGGGTTCTGAGTTTCAAGTTAGGGTCGAGCCTGAGTCAACGATTGAATTTCCGGAGCATTTAAAGATTTTCGCTTTTGAGGAAGGGAATAATTCAAGATTTCCTTCTCCAAGACGTTCATTAAATGGAAATTTCGGTAATTTAAAGATTTTTACTTATTTTTAAACAAAAATAATGATTATAAACTATCAATCAATGATTATCAATTATCAATTATCAATTACTAAAAAATTTTTTTTCTTGTTTTGTTTTTTCTTTCAAATTTTTTTTAAAATTCTTAAATCTTATTTTTACAGATGCTATTTATTGTATATAATTACTAAACATTCTACACATGAAAATGTAACATGTTGTTGTAAATTGCCGAGAGCGTTTTTTTTTTACAAATAAATAAATAATTAATTTCAGATTATTATTTGATGGACGGAGCTTCAATTCTTCCTGTATTAGCTTTGGGTCTCAAGCCAGGTGACACGATGCTTGATATGTGTGCTGCACCAGGTGGAAAATCTCTTGTTGCGCTCCAAACTCTTTATCCACAAATCTTGGTCTGTAATGACAGTAAATTGAGTCGTTTACATCATTTAGAAGATGTCATGAATGAATACTTGGGTAATCTTGATCACTGGGAAAGAAGATTGTTCTTAACTAATAAAGATGCCAGAGCCATTGATGATGAAAATGTTTATACTAAGGTATACCTTCTAGTAGATCAATTGCAATGATTATTTATTTAAATATAAATTAAATTATTTTATTTTAAATAATTACTAAAATATTTTATAATTTTTATTAGATTTTAGTTGATGTACCATGCACTACCGACCGTCTCAATCTTCACACAGAAGAAAACAATTTATTCAAACCATCTAGAATAAAAGAAAGGCTTCTTTTGCCGGAACTTCAAACAGAAATTTTATTACAGGCATTAAAAATTATGCCTGTTGGAGGTACTGTCGTTTATTCAACCTGTTCACTCAGTCCTATTCAAAATGACGGAGTTGTTCAGATGGCTTTAAAAAAATGTTGGGAAGAAACGCAGTCAACTATGATTGTCAAGTATATAATTTTATTTACGAACTTTTATAACTTATTAAATAAAAAAATGATTTTATTACTAAAAATAAATTATTTTTATTTACAGAGACTTATATGAAGCGTTAGCACCACTACGTTGTATATACCGCTTTGGAAATGACTTTGGATTAAAATACGGTAACATCGTAGTACCGACTCCTAAACATAATTGGGGTCCTCTCTATTTTTGTAAGATAGTTCGAGTTAATTAAAATGTACATAAGATTAGATATAATAAATTTTTATTAATTATTTACATAAATCGTTTTATTTTTTTTTTTTTCCTTAAAAATAAAGATAGTTTACGCATTTGATAAACGTATCCCTGAAATCAACTTCCCACTTAAATATTTTTATCTACATTTATATATCCAACAATATATATTTTTAGTTAATACTTTTTTAGTGATTTTGTTGATTAATATTCTCATGCAAGAGATCAACGTGATGTAATTAATTAATAAGTTATACATAAATACAATTTAAATTAATGTCTGTTTTTTTCCTCGAGAGGAAGAGTTTGATCGCTTGTTTCTTCATCATGAGACTCAACGTTATTCCAAGATTCTTCTTTACTCGACCCGAAAATACTGAAGACAACTACTTCGATCAGCAGAAATCCAGAAGTTATGAAGAAAATAATTCTCCACGTAGCGATTGAGGGCTGGAATAAAAATTATTAAATGTAATCATACTTAGTATTGAGAGCTCTATTAATTTAAATAAATAAATTTAATGCTTACATCTTTCGAAGTAACATGCCCGATAATAATCGGCATAACTATTCCCGGAATAGTCGCGAAGAAATTTGTTATTGCTACAAGAGTACCAGCAAAGTTAGGAGCGATATCAATGTGGTTGCCTAGAAATCCGCTGTACATAGCACCCATAGCAGTTATTCCAATTGTCATAAATGTAACAGCTACTTCTCGATTGTTTCCAGCGAATGCCACCACAATCAAGCAGATTGTTGGTATTACAGAGCCTTTAAATTTTTTATTTATTAGAAAAATTAATTGCCAATTTTAATTAATTTAAATACTTACTGCAGAAGGTTCCAATTTTTCGTGAAAGAGTTCTAGAAATCCAATTCTTTGCCTCAAATATTGCTAATATTTTACTGATGGCCATCGTGAAGAACCACATGCATAAGTACGGAATAGAAGAGAGTGTTGTATTCTGTAATTTATCAATATTAAAAAAAAATAATTAATAATACTGATAATGAGAGACATTTGATAAATTTTAGAAATTTTTTTATCTGATAAATTATAGCTAAAAAAATTTATTTTTAAATTTAAATCTTTAGAAGCTTTATAAAATTATAAATGGAATTTTTTTTTAATAATTTTCTAGACCTAGTTTATTATTTAAAAAAAAAAAAAAATTGTCAAGTGCCTAACTAATTTCAATGCCATTAATTAATTATACTGAAATTTAGGGACATTTGATAATTTAAAAAAATTTTTCATCTAATAAATTACTAAAAAAATTTATTTTTAAAATTCCATCTTTAGAAGGTTTATTTAATTATAAATGAAATTTTTTTAAAATAATTTTTTAGACCTAGCTAATTTTTTAAGAAAAATAAAAATATTTTAAAGTGTGCCAATTTGTTATTAATTAATTATACTGAAATTTAAAGACATTTGATAATTTAAATAATTTTTTTATCTAATAAATTACTAAAAAAATTTTATTTAAAAATTTCTAGCTTTAGAAGGTCTGTAAAATTATAAATATAATTTTTTTTTTAATAATTTTCTAGACCTAGTTAATTAAAAAAAAATTTTAAACTTGTCAAGTGCCTAATTTCAATGTCATAATAATTAAAATAATCTTACCGATTTTAAATCAAAGTGTAAAACTTGTTTCATGTAGGTTGGAAGTTGTGTGAGCATCATGTACCATCCAACATTACTACAAAAGTGTGAAGCCAAAATCGCGAGAAAAGGTATAGATTTAATAACTTGTCCCCAAGGAACTGCCAAATTATGATGCTCCGTATTTTCACTCTGACCAAGTGATTTAAGAATGTAATTCTTTTCTTCCTGGCTGATGAATCTACGCTGCTGTTCTGGAGAGTCTTCAATCATCAGCCACCAGGCAGTACACCAGATAAGACAAAGGAGTCCTTCAAAATAAAATACCCACTCCCAGCCCATACTAGCAGCAATTATCCCTGACAGCAATGTCGCGATCACAGTTCCAAGTGCCGTTCCCGCGTAGATGATTGACGTCAAGACACTTCTCTCATTGGGGGGCGCCCACTTGGAAATCATAACATGCATCGCTGGGAAGCTGACACCCTGAAGTAGATAAATAAATTAATAAATTTATGTCAGAGGAAATATAAATAATTTATGTTCAAGACTTACTCCGCCGATTCCTTGAAGAAATCTCATGAAGACAAACAGCCAGTAGTGCCCGTAAGCTGCGGGTGGTGACAACACAGAAGCCACAACATTGAGAAGAACTGCACCATTCATCACCCACTTCGCAGACACTAATTCAGACATCCGTCCGCCAGGAAGCATCGAAACTAAATATCCAGCAAAGTATGCTGATAAAATAACGCCTTGCATGCTTCCATCCCAGAGGAATGGTCCGTCCTAGTGCAAAGAAGAAAACAATAATGAAGCATTGTAAATTATAATTTACAATTATTCTCACCGCTCTACTTCCTAGATAAATTGACTTTCTACATATTTATAAAAAACCTGCGTACAACATGCCCTACTTTTAATTTAAATATGTAGTAGAGTAAGAAGAAAAATAAATGTATGTTTGTATTTATAACTTGGTGTATTTATATTACACTGTGGTTATATTTACTTCTTTAAGTTTAGATGTCACATTGAAGTTCACTGTCTCGTTGATTGATGTGAGATTTTCGGGGCCTTTAAGTGCGGTATGATTTACCATTGCGACAATGGCTATACTGACATTGACCTTGAATCCATAAATTATGGCTAGACCGATAGAACCTAGTACTGCCATAAGATATCGGATGGCGAAGCATGATTTTGGTGGACGTTGATGGACACTTCCTGCTGCTGAAAGAGAGAAGAATATATTTATTGTTTATAAGGTCATATTGTGGTATTTATTACTCATTATGTATTTATCAAAGTACAAATGAGTTATGTAAATATTTAAAAAAATTTCTTCTTTGATTTTTAAAGATTGTATCCTAAAATATGAAATAAAATTTTCAAAGCTTTAAAAAAATTGTGTTTTATGATAAAGGTAAATTTTTATAAAGATTAAATTAATTAAAGTAAAAGACCCCATTAGTGGCGGAGATCCCTTTAGTGGCACTTAAATTAATTTTGCATTTTATTTAATCATTAATTTCTAATATGACTATTTTATTTCTAATCTTTAAGACCTCTAGATGACAAAAAATGTTCAATTTTGATTTCAAGGAAAATCTTTTTAGTAAAAAAAAAAAAAATTTTCTTTTTCAACCAAACTGAAACCTCAAGTAAATTTTAAATTTCTTAATAATTCGGTTAAAATTGATCACATTTTTAAAAGCGAATTTTTTAATAGATAGATAAGAGTTTTATTTGTATCACATTTATGTGTTTTACAACAATTTTTTAATATTTTTTTCATATAATTATACTAGCAATTATCATTACAAATTTTGAATAGTCTATAAAATGACAAAATTATTTATTTATCTTTTTTGAAATAAATATTATTTAAAAAAAAAAAACATAAATGTCACTAAAGATTTATTAATTTGATAATTTTAATAATTTTTGTAACAAATAAATTATGGAAAAAAAAAATTGACGAAGAAATTTAAAAAATTAAAAATGCAATTTTTTAAAAATAATTTTAGGGAAGAAATTTTTTTGTTAAATAAAATAAAAAAATGATCTAGTGATTGCTAATTTTAATATCATAAATTTTTTTGTCAATCTATCACTATACATTTTAAGTAAAGCGTAATATTTATGATTGAAAAATAAATCTATGGCAAGAATTTATTTATTAAAATAAAAGAATTAATGATTTGAATGTTAAAAAAAAATAAATATCGGTATGCCATAAATATAAATTTGATTCATAAATATTTCATCAGCAGTATGGATAAAAAAAAAAGGAATTATGGGGCCCCGTGTCAGTAGTCACGTAGGACGCTCTTGGGCGTAAGAAGTCTTACACGTTTTATTTTATGAGGCTAACGTACGTAGAAGTAATTAGTAGGAATAAATGATATGATGCAATGGATTCACGTGGATTTTTACTGTATCAATTTACGTCAGAACTAATTTTCTATCTAATTAAATCTGGATTAATTAATAATAATAAAATAATAATAATAATTAATATAATTTTTCGAGTTCAATTAAATGAACAATTGAATCAACTCAAAGATTTATAAATTAAATTTATTCTATTGAAATGTAAATTAAATATAAAAGTGTTTCAAGACCCGCATGTAGTAAATTTCGCGCGCTTACATCGATCTGGAGGGAAGAAACACAAGGTCAAAAGGACGAATTATGAAATTTCAGCACTTTACCCATCACCCCTTTAAATTAATAAAATTTAATTTTTAATTAAATATAATGACAGTAAATTTTAATAAAAAAGTTAGTTTTACTTAAATTTGTAAAAAAAATACTTACAATCGGGAGTTTCAACAGCCATCGCAACTTTTGAATAAAAATTACCGGCACTTTATCTGCGGAATTAATTATTGTATTAGATTACTATTGAAATGAAAAAATATTGATTTAGATGGTTAAAATAAATACCGTTTAATATTAAACTGAGCAACTGCGTACGTGCGTACTGAAGACGCAGAGATGTGACATAAGACTTGGGTCTTTTGGAGATTTGGAAGAACATTGCCGGGCGCGGCAGCGTGCGCGTCTATAAATATACCCTACAAACTACCACTACCAGTACCCATCACCCATACAGGTAAAATGCGCATGGGTGAGACTTGTTGAATTGTATTGGATGTAAAATACAAGTAATATGGGATATTATTATCATTATTATATCAGTGAGTCGAGGGTTCACTGATCCTTCGTAAAATTTTTCTTCTTAACTTATATTAGGCCCTTCTTCTTATTTTTTATCAATAAAAAAACTGAAATTTAAAATGACATTTAATTTAGCTGTCACTTAACAATTTTTTAATTTTCTTTAACAAGAAAATTTGTTCCAAAAAATTATTTTTAAAAAATTACATTTTTAATTTTATTAAACTTCTACAAGTCCATTTTTTAAATAATTTTTTTTTGCCATAATTTATTTATTAAAGGAAATTTTAAAAATTGTGAAATGATAGCTAAATTTAATGTCATAAATTTAAAGTTAGCAGTCAGTTTACAATTTTTTAATTTTATTTAACAAAAAAATTTGTTCCAAAAAATTATTTTTAAAAATTTACATTTTTAATTTTTTCAAATTTTTGCATATCAATTTTTTTTTTCCATAATTTATTTGTTTTTAAATTACTAAATATATGGTAAATTAATTTTCATTAATAATTTCACTTTTATAATGATTATTTATAAATATTTATAAACCTTTTAAGGGATGATGTAGGATTGCGCTGTTATAGCGAAATATTAAAGGATATTACATCAACTTAACGCGTCATGTTCAAATGGATTGCGCAATTGTCTAAGCTACGAACTATAAGCTGCAAGTTCAAAGTACTTGTGTCCTTAACAACGGTCAAGAGTATATAGTATATAGAACATAAATATGACAGATACAACTGACATTAACTGAGATTTAAGCTGTCGCTCTTCTTATAAATAATGAGCTGGTGTATTAATACAGATGAGCTAAGTGATGAAAGTTTTTACGGAATTAACATCTGGCTGGATCAAATAACTTTCTCACGCCCACGAAAAAATATTGCCAGAGATTTTTCTAATGCTGGTATTTTATTTAATCTAATTATAGTTACAGAATTAATATACTTTTAATTTAAGATATTGACATAACTTTTACCTTGTTTGTTTTACTTAAATGTAATCTAGTATTTATGGCGGAGTTGTTAAAAAAGTATTATCCGAGATACGTCGATCTTCACAATTATTATCACGGTAATAGTCTTGCTAAGAAGCTTGACAATTGGAGAACGCTTAATAAAAAAGTTTTATCAAAAATAAATCTTAAATTGGATGATAAACAAATTAACGAACTTGCTACGTGTAAAGATAAGGCAATCGAAAACTTGTTGTTGAAAGTTAAAAATAAAATTTGCTACGACTGTAACGATGAGCGTGCGTCATTATATTCTGTTGATGAGCAGGACATCGACCGGGTCCATAAAATCTTCAATCTTGACGCCCAGAGCAAGGTCAAGCCCAAAAAAGTGATTTTTAAGCTTAAGCGGGAGCTAGAAGAAAAAAATGAGCTTGTTGATAAGCTCAATGAGAAAATTAGGCAACTAGAATCTCTTCTTCAGTTGAAAGAACAGAAAATTAAGGACCTTTCTGCGCAATTAGTGAGATTTAAGTTTGTAACGATGAATAAAACTCGGTGAAATTTTTTATATAAAGCTTATTTAATGTCTTTGAGTACTGATTGACATTTGGGTAAATATATATTTTAAGTTTAACACTGAGCGCGCATACTGGGCGGTGAAACCAAAATAACACCATCTCCACGGACAAATAACATTGGGATATTTCTTTTGGTGGTTCTGTAGACTTCTTCGTAGGTTTCTTCGTCAATTTCGACAGTCGTTACCGTTTCTTCGGCATCTCCCAAGATCATGTTTAAATGTTGATCATAAGCCTGTAAAAAAAATTTTTATTTAATGATATCAGCAAATGACACTGAAGTTAGCATGGAAATTAATTTAGCAGATACTCAATAATTTTTGTAACAAATAAATTATAGCAAAAAAAATTAACAAGTAGAAATTTTAATAATTAAAAAATAATTTTTTGGAACAAATTTGTTTGTTAAAAAAAATTAGAAACTGATCAAGTGTCAGCTAATTTTAATGTCATGAATGATACTAAAGTTAGCCAACATTTTTAATGTTTTGATTTTTTTTTAAGGTAGTTGTAGCGTGAAAGGCATTTCAACAGAAAGTTATGAAATTTTTTTTATCGAAAGATAAATATATTAATAATTCACTACCAAAATTTCAGATCAATTGACCGCACCGTTTTTGAGTAATTAATTTTCGAAATCGCATTTTTTACACGTAGAGGTATAGAGAGATGGTAAAGTTAGTATGAAATCTTTGGTCCACTCGAGTGGTACGGAAGATTTCATACTAACTTTACCATCTCTCTATACCTCTACGTGTAAAAGATGCAATTTCGAAAATTAATTACTCGAAAACAGTGCGGTCAATTGATCTGAAATTTTGGTAGTGAATTATTAATATATTTATCTTTCGATAAAAAAAATTTCATAACTTTCTGTTGAAATACCTTTCACGCTACAACTACCTTAATAATTAAATTAGAACAAAAAATATTTTTACAAAATTGCACTTATAGTTTTTCAAGTTTTTTACATGTGAAATTTTTTTTTAATTGTTTCACCCGTGCCCCGTGCTGCCCCGTGCCATCGGGCGAATATTCACGCTCTTTCACATGTGATGTATTTTTATTAAATTTTTTTATAATAATTTCACTGCTAATAAATTATAAAAAAAATTTATAATTTTTGTCAACCTCAGTGTCATTGTCAGCAAATGAATTTTTCAATTCAATTTTTTTTCTTAATTACAAAAATCTAAAAAATTTTTTTAAATCAGCTAATTTAAAACCTTAAAAAAAAATAATTACTAAAATTATTAAGCAAAAAATAAAAAATTACATGTAAACGTCCGCGTAATTCACGTTCATTTCTCATTTTGACATAAATCCTTTCATCAATGCTCAATTTAATCAAATCCAAAGGTTCCTTGACATTGATCGCCAGAATCTGCGTAAAAAACAATAATATAGGTTAGAATATTTTTCAATCCATTTCCAACACTCAGAAAAGTCAAAACTAAAAATTACCTGCTCCGCTTCATCCGCCATTTTATCAACAATAATTTTTTAAAAAAAATAATTCCCCAATAACAATTGTTACAACAATTATTATTATTATTTATATTAATTTAAATCAATAAAAAACTGCGCGAGATTTCAAAGATGTTTTGATCAGCAGTAAAGCAACCGGGTGGCTGACAAAAGTATCTGGAAGATGTCAGCACCGTCCAGTGAATAATTATTTATTGTTAAAGTTCCATAGGAGGCGCTTTGGTACAAACAATCAAGTCATCAACATCACACACCTCCGTGGCTCGTGTCCGTGTATTGAGGATGTGTGAGCTGAAGTGCTGTCGTGTAGTTGTGTAAGCAGCAGTCAACGGAGTAGTGCCTGCTCGTGATCGTGAACGGTGGCAGCCAAACCAACGAAACGCCATTTTCTGCGTGCTCTCGCGAGAGGGTTCATACCATAACCCATTGCGCCGGATCCCCGATTTTACTACACTGCAAACTACCACCAACACAACTGCACCAGGAACAGCACACTATTTACACTGCTGGAACTGTCTCTTCCAAGTAAAGGCAGTATTTAAATTTATTATATTTATTATTATTATTATTATTATTATCCATCGTCTAAATTCTACGTGATCTAGTATGTAACATTTAATATGTTGGTGTTGTTTTATTAAATTAATCAGTGGAATTTTTAGTGAGTTTCTGTTACGGTAGTGCCCATAGTGAAGATATTGAATTTAATTAAAATAATTTATTATTTTTAATATTCAATAAATAAATCGAAATATTTGTGAAACTAGGAAATAACGAGGGCGATGCCCGGACACGCGACTGGGGGTGCGTCAGCGGATATGGTAAGAATCCTCTTGTCTCCCAGGGAGATTAATTTTAAGATAAACATTATTTCAAGATTATAACTGATCAAAATGAAGTTAGCTGACATTTCAAAATTTTTACAAATTTTTTATTGAAGAAATTTCAATTAAATAATTTTAAAAAAAATCCACATGTAAAAAACTGGAAAAACTTCAAGTGCAATTTTTTAGAAAATTTTTTTTAGTTGTAATTTAATTAAAAAAAAAAAAAATCCAAAATTTTTAGACGTCTGCTAACTTCAGTGTCATTGATTTTATAACTGTATATTATTAATTTCTCATCTTTTTTTCTATGTATAATAGATACAACATTTAAATGTGTGTGACATCTTATCATATTATCGGCAGTGTCTCCAAGTTTGTGCTGAAATATCGCGAGTGTTGGTATCACGTCTAAGAAATAAAATAGTCAAGACTATTGTTCCAACTAATAACAATCATGTGTTGTGCTCGTAGATATTTTAAATATTTGGGTCTCACGAGCTGGCATATAAATAAATACCGTAATATCTGGTAGTACTCACCAGGTCAGAATTATTGAATAATTATTTTAGAATTCACGAAAAGAGAATTTTTAATGGAAGATCTACGCAGATGTAGACGGGGAGGTTTTAGTAGGTGTGGCGAGTGTCTTTGAATTAATATTGTGGTTGATTGGTGATTTTATTAAATCATTATTGATGTAATTGCTCGGTACAGTACTTAGTATTGTCGTTGTTATTAATTTGTTTAACTGACTGCTATTGTAATTTATTTTTTTATTGCCGATTTAATTATCATTATTTTAATTTGCAACCGTCGTTTCTATTCTGTAGATTGAGGGCGTCGGTCCAGAGTACACTCGACTATTCTAAGGGTGGATTTTTTTTATTTGTCAATTGTAGTTGGCAACCAGCCGATATTGTTTTTGATTTGGCTGCTAGTTAATTTGCTATACTCGTGACTTGAGTGGAGGCTTTTTATTTGAGAGACAGCAAGAGTCTCCAGTCACCGTTCAGGGGGTGAATTTTCACCCGGCTTTTAAGTCTGCTCTCGCTAGTACCAGTACCAGTACAATTTTCTCGTACTTTTTCTATATAACTGCAGTTTTATATTATTGAGCTGATATAAGGATTTAGTAACAAAATTTTTAATCACTTATTTGGGAGAAAATTAAATTAGCCGATATCAAAAAATGTTTAGAAATTTTTTTCATTGAAAAAATTGTTACAGAAAAATAAAAAAAAAAATCTTCATTTGTAAAAAAACTTGAAAAACTATAAGTGCAATTTTTTAAAAATATTTTTCAGTTCTAATTTAATAAATTAAAAATAATCAAAAAATTAAAAACGTTGGCTAACTTTAATGACATAGAAAATTAATTTCTTTGATACCACACTGAAAAAAAATTAATTTGATTCGAAAAAAAAAATCATGAATCAAGAAAATAATTTCGAAGAGGATAATTGTCTTAAATCAAATCGAAAAATTTTTTAATTAAGTAAAATTTATTAGTTCAAGAATTTTTCTACTCTAATCAAGATTAAATTCTTCAAAATTATATACTTGGTTCAAGAAATTTTTTTTTATGCAATAAATTATTTATTAAAATACTGCTAAATATTTATTTGGTGGAACTAAATGGGCTTTAATAAATAATTTAGTAGTATGATTTTATGACTCAATATTTGGTGATCAAAAATTTGTTACTAAATTTTATTAAATAGAACTAAATATTTCTATCAGTGGATTTCTGGAATATCTCGTTATGATTTATAATTTATAATATGGCCTAGATTTAAATTTAATTTATCTGTAATTAATTGGCTCATTAGTCCGAGGTGCCGGTGGATGGTGAAAAAAAAAAAAAAAAAAATCATAATGCAGAGTTCGATAGTCAATTAACTCAGTAATTGAGGATAATAGCTATGAAATTGTTCGTGACTGTTTCTATTACGTACCTTAGAAAGTCCATTACATTTTTTTACTCATTAACTACTTATTACACATTACACTTGGCCCTGGCTGTTGTAAATTTGTAAAGTAAATACCATTTGACTAGATGTTAGATAATGGAAACACGATAATGACGAAAGCAATGATGAAAAAAAAATACATTTTAAAAACGATGACTAATCCAAGTAAATATTTATTATTTTCATCATACAATTGTAATACTGCGTATTGTTTCCAGGTAATTGAGGATAGAAGTTATTGGAAAAAAAAAAAATGCATTACTGATATTATATATCCCGTTGAGTGTGTTTAAATGAAAACAATTACGGGACGGCGATCGGAAATAAATGAGTATTTAAAACTGGGATCGAATGCCAATAGCATTCCTGATTAGATGTCTGCAGAGTGTCTCAGCTCTCAGTACCTGACTCCTTGACGTCGAATCCTTGTATGTACATTGTAGCGCATTTGTATTGCGACAAACCGTACTCGTTGGTCAACAGTGTGCTAATTATGCATCACCCCATTTGGCCCGGTTGACATTCCACGAGGGTCGTATTCTACTCATTTTACCCTCATGCGACGAGCCAGCCCACGTCCTCCCTCCATAGAGTAAACTCTTGTATCTACTAGGATCCGGTAACCGAGTTCCCCACCTCTGAGGCATACTCATCCACATCAAGCCTCAAGCTAATCTCGGATCATCATTTTTTCCACTCAAAAACCACAGAGGCCTCGTGGCTCTAGTTCTAGTTTTTTTTACGCGTGATAAGATGAACCTTTTAATCTGGTGGTCATTTTTTAAACAATTTTATTTTTTGGATTCTTCTGAAAAATAGAAAAAAATTATTCGAATAAAATTATAAAGCCAGTAAACATAATTACAATATTTGTATAAAATCTCACTGTTTAATAAGTAAACAACAAATGTATTTTTATACATTTAATCTCTACCATTTTTTCCAGTTGTATGCTTTATCTCGAATTAAAAATCATATCACCGCCCACACACGCTCGAAAAAAAAACCGCTATTGCCATACAGGACACGTCATTATAGACGTATGAACGTTACGCATATGTCCACTCACATATGAGTTTATAAATATGATCAAATATGAACATCGATGACATTTGAAGTAATTTCATCAGCAGCAAGACACATGACATCCTTTCTCCAGCAAAAGACCGACACCTAGACTACGTGAGTAGGAAGAGGAATTACTCGGATATTACTTGAGGTGTAAAACAACTCCTTTACTTCCTTATGGAGTCAAAATACAGAGTAAGATGTATGTACTTTGTACTGGGTGCTCTTTACAATGTATTTATGTTATGTTGTGTATCTACAACGGATTGCTGAAAGATAAAAATAGTCAGCAGTTGGATAAAAAATTAAACAAGAAATCAAGTACAGCAATCTACAGCTGGCCACGATTCAAACGTAAATACCTAATCGATAGACTAAGATCTAGAGAGAACTCATTGCCTCTTACTTCTATTCCAGCAACAAAGGCACACCTCAGCATTACCTTCTCTTGCCTGCAATTCCATCTACATCTGGCTTGGACTTTATATTATTTTATAAAGATATAGAAGTATAAAATATCCAATACCTATGTGTAGACGTACACAGTACTTGTATCGGTAAATTTGTGCCAGTATATTTATTGTAAAAAACTATACTATTATATAGCATACTACAAGGAATAGTTTTTACCGTTGACGTCAGGATTTATTTTTCAATCATGATGCACTGATAGAAGGATTTATTAACTGTTAATAATTTAATTTATTTATTTAAAGACAATTATTTAATTTATTAATATTTTTTAATCTTCAATAAATATTTATTTGGAAGGAAAGTACGTTTATTAATAGTTAACACCTTGAAAAAATTTTTCTCTTGAATATTTGATACCCATTTTATAATATTTTAGCGTGCAATTATTCATATTGAATGAAAAAAAGTTATTTAATATTATTTGATCTTATTTGACATGTTAATCAATAAAAATATTAATGAAAATTTATTTCTATCTCTATATTCAATTTTTTGGAGCAAGAGAGAAATTTTCTCAAGACAAAAAAATTTACTTCTATCAAAAACTAAATTTTTTGGAGCTCGAGGCTGAATTTTTTTAAAACAAGATTTTCTTAACTGAAATAAATTTTCTTGGGTCCAGATACATATTCCTTAAAGCAAGAGAATTAATTTTGTT